CACAGCGCAACAACCCAGAAGACAGAAATCTTCATACTCATCGCCCTGATGATGGAGGCAGTATGATCTCAGAAACGTTGGTAAACATCGACCAGACTACACAGCGCAACAACCCAGAAGACAGAAATCTTCATACTCACCGCTGTGAAAACCTCAAATGTCTCTCTTTTGTTCGCAGGTCTATTCCACAGGGCTATCGTCATGTCCGGGAGTGTGACCTCGCCGTGGTCTGGGGCGCCACATCCCGCCAACTCCTCCCGGGGGATCGCGCGTAGCCTTGGTTGCTTAGCTACCACTTCCCGCGCAATCCTGGCCTGCCTCCGGACTAAATCCACAGCCGAGATTTTGCGGGCCTTCGAGGCGCAGTACAAAGTACGTGCATGTGAGGGAGAAACACTTGTGAAAATTATAGGCACCCGCAAACTTAGCGTACAAGATTTAAATAGGCGTGGTTCAAACAGGGCACGTTCATGTTGTTTACATCTGCAGCCGGGGAGTACCCGTTCCAAATCTTCGCAGGGTTACCAACTATCCTGTGATTGTCCGTGATTTTAATCAGTCTGCCCCGGCTAATACTGCCATAAAACGTCTCTTTCCATACTTTTTTACCTTCTTACGACTCATGATCGTTCGGCGCTACATAATCCCTGCAGATAAAACAGAGTCAATAAAAATCCTAAAATTTTAACCATTTACAAATTCGTGACCCACGTCGCCAGGTTTATACCAACTCAGCCTTCCATTAAATGGGCGTCGGGGCTAAAGCGGCCGGAACGATAAGCTAACCATTCGTTTTCATTTAGTGCCACGATTAAAATGAGTGGAGTTATAACTCCACACCCCACTACTCCTCCATGGATTATTCTTTGGGATAACGCTCCCCGTTTCCTAGATGGAGGTGAGTATTTGCATTCTCCGGCCGCCAAACCCCAAAGGGAAAATACAAATTTAACAATTAGCTATCCAAATAGCTAAGTAACTAAGTAAATAACTGACTAAGTAGCTGAAATGCTTCACTTATCTAACAATTTCCATGCGAGGCATAATATATTAAGTTTAAAGGCTCTGACTTAAATAGGATTTATTTACTACTTCAGATCAGTAAACAGACTGTTCTCATTATATTATTTGTGGCTCTTCGACGACAAAATTTCTTGTCAAGAAAATGTACTAGAGTAAGAGGCCCCTTGTAGAAAGGCAAGTATGGAAAGAGTTAGGATGGCTGGATTTAATATTCGTTCAGTAACCTACAGTGTTACTGTTTGTGTCTCAGAAGGTAGCGACCTTTTAACGGCTTGTGGTACGGAGCGAACGTCGGAACAAAATAAATTGTCAATAAAGCATGACAAATAAGTTCATTCCAAGCCAACTGCAGTTCAGTGGTTTTATAGAGCAACTTTATAATTTTCTGCAGCTGCGCCAAGACTTATCACACAAAGAATGTTCTAGAACAGGGTTCTCCAAACTTTATCACAAGCTGGCCATATGTTCTAAAAATTATACATGTAGGCTACTTTCGTATAGAAAAGTCGTTTAATAAATTGGGCAAATTGCGATCTTCCTGAAATTTTCCGAGACATCCGATGTAATTTTTATTTCTTCACGTGAAAAAAATCGGATCTCAGATATCATCTCTTGCTACTGCGTTCCACGATTATATTTCTTACTAATCGAAACAATTTCTTCATTCCTGACTAATTAATGTCGGTGTATTATTTTCCTGTACAAATCATCAAATAGTATTGTCCCGTAATTTCCGGCTTGAAGAAGACAAGTTCCTCCGAAACGCTAGTAATTTTGTTATCTGGATATGGTTAGATAATCAAACGTCTCTACAGCTAGTTTCTTTTTTCCTTTCACTTAAATTTGTTTTGTTCTTTCAGAACGGTAACTGGACAGCTATGGTGTTGCCAGTTGTAGACTCATTTCTTCCGGAACCGGAGCAGTACCTCCCACGTGACCCGAAAGAAATGCTCCAAACAGGAAATTATGTACCAATGCCGGTGATGACGGGTACAACTCGCCACGAGGGAGCTGCCACCCTATGTGGGTACCAAATTAAAATATCACTGAATTTCCATAGTGTTTACTGTGTTTTTCTCCAGAAGTCTTTGTGGAGTCTGTGTATCTGTGTTTTAATGGTGTTTTCGTAAATTTATCTTTCCAATTTCGCTAAAGAATGTAAATCGCTGACTTTGAAATGAGAGTGGAAAATTGTAATTTTACAAACACTTCTTTTTTGTTATCTGCCGTCCCACCGTCTTTGAAATAAATTTATTTCTTAATATAAATATAATTTTCTCGAGCAGACAGCAATTTTCCTTCCGCAGTTGTTAAACAGAGTCAACTAATTTACCTATCAAAAAGATTTCTTCAAACATGGAGAGATTACGAATTAAAAATTAATTCATTTCAGTAGGATCTGAGGTTTACAATGTGATGAATATGAAGATGGCTGTAATGGGGGTAGCAAGGGCCTCTGAAACGTCGGTAGACTTCTACAAGACTACACGGCTCTCTAACCCAGAAGATAGCCATCTTCAATCCAATCTAGATTTCAACCATAGCGACCAACTTCTTGCATAAAATTCACACTACACGGAACACTACATTATTTTTCCCTGTGGGCCTACTATGTTAAATATTCACCATACAGAAAATGTAACAAATAAAAGTTGTAGCTCTAAAGTGTTTATTACCATGCAGGCTATAAATTCTTACACTACGAACCATTTATTTGAGAATATTAAGTTTATTATGATGCTGGTCTGATTGAAACGAAAATTAAATTTGGTCTATGAAGATTTAGTGTATACCCCAACACCAAATTCAACTAGTTTCAAAGCTCAAACAATTTGAATTATAGAGACATTTCCAAGATACGTTAATTCTATGCTCTTTGTGCGAAAACCTCGTACTACAAATAGTTCGGCCTCGTTTGAGTTTAGACGCTTTTACAAAATGTTCAGACCAATGGAGCGACTTGGCGAGACAGAGTTACCTGCAGCTGAGTCACTTTTTCGAGAACTCCGCCATCCCGACCGTGATGGAACACTACAGGTTTGCCAAGGAGAGGCGGATCCAAGAGATCCTCAAGTGGCAGTACTCGGATAAGGCAAGGGAGGGGGATACGAACGCACTGCTTGTCAAACTATTAGAGGTAAGTAACGGCGTCTACAGGTCCCGCGGGGACTCACCCTGTTTCACTTTTACAACAGTCTCTTCCAAACAAACTCTTGCTTTATTTTGAAGCAAGTGATGAATTATAAAACGGGCTTTCTGCTCTAGCAAAACGTTTCGAGTGAAGTATAACTAGCCATTTGATTGCTAGACATAAGGTGAACAAGACAGAACGGTTGTACTCTCAAATATATAATACATTATTTTAACCGAATACATTATTTTGTAATGCCCATTCCTATACTGCAGTGGTTTCTGATATTCAATGTCTCGCTTCCAAATTATTCTAAAACACCCATGCTACTACTCTACTTTTGACTGATTTTGTGAACATAATACATTTAGTCACTTAATTAAAAGAGATCAGTGCCTAATTTCATGTTGAATACACAGTATTACACTTGAGAGAAAGTCCGCACATAATTAGAGGAAAGCTGAACTAAAACATGTCTTCTGGGATGTTGTACCGTGTAGTCTGGTAGACGTTTACAGTCGCTTAGGGGTGCTTGCTGCCTCCATCATCAGGGCGATGAGCATATAACATTTCATCGAAATCGAAGTGGTTTTGAGTAAGAAATATACAGACAAACATGGTCTCTTTTTAATGCTTTCATTCTGTATAGCCTGCTGTATGCAGAGGACGTAATGACTTGATGTTTCTGAATAATGTCGTGATAAATTTGAAATATGAAGTCAAGGATTTAAGACATTATATCAATCAATTTCCTTTTTTCCCCTCAGTTCTATACGGACTCTCAATTCGCAGCCCCAAACTTTCGCCAGTTGGCTCTCCTCGCCCGCTCTCCAGAGCCGCTCTTCGTGTATAAGTTCGAACAGACTGGCGGACCGGATCTTTATGGCAACACCCTCAACATCACAGGTATATAAACTTGCATTCTTGTTTCCATGCACCTATCAATTTAGCCCTTTCCATGCCAGTAACGAGATATTTCTCTCGGAAAAATTGTTACACCCTAGACATTATATTCTTTGTAAATGTATATATACGAGGTGCGATCGGAAAGTTCACAGACTGTGTCAATAGAGGGCGAACCGGATGTAGTACGAGCTTCTGCTGCTAGGGCACTCCCAGGGGAACTACTTCGAGGGTGATGGATGAATTTAATACCTTAGATAAGTGTACGAGTTTTTATAGGCGCAGTCTGGAAACTTTCCGATCGCACCTCGTAAGAGCATTTTACACGTGCATTTTCGAATTCTTGGACATATCTTGACAGTAATATTGAGGATTTCAGTCATTGATAATTGAGGATCATCGTCGTTAAAAATTGTGTAAAGCGATTTCCAGTAAATTCATGGCATCCGGAAAAAAAAAATATTTGCAAAAGAGACAAGAAGTTGAATTAGTAAAATCTAACAAACCACAAAATGCCCTTGAAATTTTAGTTTCCTTTTGTTCGACGAGGATGGGAACCCCGCTCCCTCACACCAAGGTGAGTTCGGAGTATTTTTATGTTCAGGGTCTGCCCACGGTTCGGAGTTTCTTTACCTGTTCGGACCTACGTTGATGCTTAAGCTGGGAGGAAGACGATTTACACAAGACGAGGACCGTTTCAGCAAACGTATCAAAAGATACTGGGCGGACTTCATCAGGCAAGGGTAAGTAATTATAGGCCTGTGTTGATTAAACGGTGGTTATCGCAAAGGGTGCTTGCTGTCACGGGGTTACAAAGACGAAAGCAAAAACAATATAAAGAACTGGCAACGGTAAGGCCATTAGCTGGATGTGGATTATTAGGTAAAATGGTTTGCCAATCGCAGATTTAACGTAGAGCTATCTAGTCTATCTTGTGGAGCCATTCTCTCAACCGCGGTATTTGATCTAATGCATCCAGGAATCTTAATCTGTCTACATATGGAAAAATCGGCTCTGAGGTCAGAGTTATAATGGCATCCAAAAACCAGTTTTATAACTTCCAAGATTACTTTTTCGAAACGTCGTTTTACGAAACTTATTACATGTTGCGTTAATTTATTTTCAAATGTTTTATTACATGTTTATTATCGTGTTTGTGAAGGAACACGCGACTTAAAGTAAACGCAACTCCGAGTTTCAACCACGACACTGAAATAGGGGAAGGGAAGATGGAAATGGTAGAGGGGTGAAAACGGCGAAGAGGCTGTCTGAGCATGTACAGTGTAACTCAAAATATTTTCTCCTTTTAATTTCGACACAGTCGCCAGCATTTTTCATACACTGAATTTTGTGGAGCAAAGGAACTGTAAGAAACCATAAACGCAGACACACACACGCCTTGACCCGCGCGCTACTCCCGGAGCTTAAACGTAAAAATTTCACATCAGACAGAGTAAAACGAAGGACTGGGATCCCCCCCCCGTACGTGCTAACTCTTTACGGTCTTCCCCTATCTCCGGTGTGTGTATTTGTAATGGTCAACCGAGCTCGGAGTTATGTTCCGTCTGTTACCCAACAGTTGTGTGGCTGATGCAGCGTTTTACAGGATTGCATTTGGTGAGGGATTGCTGTATTGACACACGTGGGAAACTTCAGGCCGCAAGACAGCTGAAAAGATTACTACATCTGGGAATAGATGCAAAAACACGACGTTGATAGAATGGTAGCGGAGGACAACATGGAATTATAAACTCACAGGGGCAAGAATAACAGAAAGACGAAGGAGACAATGCAACTCCTGAAATAAAGAAAATATATCCGAAAGAAATATTTCGTACAAAAGGCTAACGTCTAAGTTCGAAGGTTTCTGACACATACTATTAATTTTTTAAAACTTTATCGCTTGTCTAAATGTTATTGAAAAGTAAAACGTTCCAGAAGTTTATTCTACTAATATTTTCAAATAAAAGGAGGATAAAAGCCCTAATCTTCTGGGTTAATCTCAAACCTGCACTACCAGATACAGTTGTAGTGGCGAACAGAAAAGTCCATGTCCCTGTCGACAATCGAAACCCGATCTTACATCTCATAGTCAATCACTATACTGATAATTTTCCCGGTTATAGTGAATAAAAATAAATAAATAATGAATTTTGATGACGAATACTTTCTGAAAGCGGCAACCTGAGGAGACACACATACACAGAAGATCATTATTGAATTGGTTATTAAGCAGGCTAGAACATCACTCATCTCTATATGGAATATTATGGTCACTGTATTTTAACCCAATCTAGTTTAAAAATAAAATTAAAATTTTGTGAAATCTCTTACATGCACACATGCACAGAGATACATACAAAAACTTCTGCAGTTAAAACAGTATTATTTAATAAAAACTAAGCAAACAAACAAACAAACTATAACACTATAAAAAAGACTCTAGTTTCAACCTCAAGAGGTCACCTCTTGAGGTTGAAACGCGTATGGCACTAGTGTCTTTTTTATAGTGTTAATTGTCTGTTTGCTTGTTTTATATTCTAATACACTACACGGTGTGCAAAGTTTTAAGATTGTTGAATAAAGTAAGAGTCGATAAACAGCTTGTTTCACTGTGACTAATTCAGGAGCCCAAACGCGCCTGGATCTTTTGGGTACGGGTTGTCATGGAAACGAGCGACGCCTGAGGACTATAACTGCATGGTGCTTAGGAGTGAACAGCAGCAGCAAGGACAGTCCATGAGCTGTGAGCTGGGGCAGGAGGAGGCAGGTCTGTGGAACGACCTTCTGCCTCGTCTACAGCAGATGACAGCTGCAGACACACAGAGCGGCTCAGACACTCGAACCACGGACTCGAGACTCGGCCAGGGTGAGAAGCAGACCGTAAACTAACACCATGTTAAATGATCTTCCTTGAGTAATTGATGGCTATTCAATTGGCCAAGAACTTCCTTGTTAAGAACTCATCACCACGATGACAATCTCCCCCGACTGGAATCTACTTTGATCCACGTCATAGGTCCATAACCTACAATCGTGTTAATATTATTAATCCATCTGCGGCTCGGTTATTTTAATGGTCTCTTCCCTCGAGATTTTTGCACAGAAAATTTGTACGCATTTGATTCTTTGCTCAACGAGTGCTACATGTCACACCCACCTCAACATATAAACGAAGTTGTAAGTTTGGTCCAGTTTGCTTCACAACTTTGATTGGTTCATATAAAGCGAAAAATTGTAGTGATTACTCGTGACTATTCAGATAAACTACGTTAAGGAGGAAAAGAAGATATAAAATTAAATGTACTTAACAGAAGTATATATTTCTCCTCTTCTCTTTTGTGAGTGCAACTCTGTAGTTGAGGTTGACATTGAAACAGGAGAGGCTTTAAAAAAATCTTTGTTTAATTCCTCTTACATCCCCGATCTTCCAATACTTTCTCTTGTTATCAATTCTAATTGAAAGATTGTTTTGCGAATCATAGCCCAAAAACTTTGTGATCCCTGTAAATTTTGTAGCCATATTTCTCTATCGAGTCTCTTGCTTAGAGTCTTCGGCTTAACTCAACTTAGTAGATATATATATATATATAAATCCATTCTCTTACGTCCTAATGCCTTTATTGAAAATGGCGATCATGCACAAAAAGTATACACACATTAAACGAATAAAATAAAGACATTTTAATAAACTAAATCATTACATACGTCAGCACTGACACTTGTGTAGGTGTTCAAAATGACCATAGTTAACTTCGTTGCAAGCTGACAAGGTTAATATTTCGTATTATAACGTGTGTACACGTTTTGGAATATCATTTGTACACGCACAAACACAGAAGCCAGACGATCCATTCTTGGCCCCCTTTTAAAATTCTTCGATCAAGAAACAGCAGACATTATTTCCATTCCGTTTTATGCGGAATCAATTCCAGTGACCTCAGAACGGGATTTCCACCCAGTCCTTATTATTGAACAAAAATATGAAGAAATACAACTATGACATCAACTTTTATAGCACCGGTATTTATATTTTATAATTTCGGTGTTAAGGAAATGCAACTCCATAATCTGAATTAAAATTCCCTACTTTCCTTTCCAGCTCGACACCGACAACTGGTAATGTTTCCTAGCACGATTAAATACAAAAACATGTAATTAGGCGATCGACGATTAAGTCACTAAATAACAAATCAAACAGTCGTAATATAATTCGATTGTGTATGCGAGTATTAACAAGACCGTTTCTGTGGCACAGATTCGAGCCAGCCCTTTAGAAGTGCGATGTACACGCTGATCGGCTTCGTGGCGGTGCTTCTGGTCATGCTGGTGATATGTCTCGTGCTCCTGAAGAAGCACTCAAAAGGACGAGACCGTGACTTTTTCTGACGGCGTGCGGACAGAACTGGGGCAAAACAGAACGACCCGCCACAAGCTTGGCGCTACAACGTTACCACCAACAGACTCTAAGCGGCCAACCTCAAAGGAAGGCCAATCAGTAACAGGCCGTGAGCGACCAGCTCACGACGAAGGCTGAGCAACGAATGGGTTCACGACAGATTCTCCAGGAAGTCTATTTCAAACAAGACAAACTGCACAGAACTCCTGATAGACTACCGATCGCTTATTCTGACTATAAACTGAACAGTGGAGGGCCAACTGAAGACTATTAATCGCTACGATGACTGACAAAGAAGTGATTTGATATTTGGCCCATGCTCCGTAATTGATCGGATACCACTAAGCGACGGAAAGTTGACATAATCCATTTTCAGAAACAGACAAATTCTTGAACTGAACGAACACTTTGTGAATAAGATGTCTTTTCTTAAAAAGACAAGTTTCTACAAATGAATGTACATCCAAATGGTTAATATTATGGATGTACAGTTTATATTCAGAAACTGATATACTGTGCTGTTTGATAAAAGAATTCCCCTGTTCTGTCCATTGTACTACAGATACGAATTGCTTCTAGCAAACATTTCAAAATGCTACTATATTGTATATACATATGTAAATAAGCATCAATAAATATTAACAATTAAGCTACATTCATAAAATATTTTCTTATGAGATTTGTATAATCAACATTATATATATATATATATATACACACCTTGATTTAAGAAATTCAAAATTAATTAACAATGAGGAATATGTTAGTTATGATGTTTGTACTGTAACTACAGAAATGTAAGAAGTTTTCACCGAACAAAACACCTTCGTAAATTTTGGGCTGGGCGTACTTATTTTTAATTTAGAGACCTGTATGTAGGAAGTTATATTAAATCTACAACATATTTTAGGAACAGTTTATGTTCTACTTACTCTAAGGCGATGGGTGGACTAACTTGCTGGTCTTACGGAGCTGAAGTCAGGAACAAATGTCGAAAGCTGTATGCTCACATCGCGTTCTAAATTAAGCCTATTTCAGCACTTCGTCCTTGTTGCTTCATATCTTGAGAGTGCTGTTAGCACAGAAATGTACAGCAGCTTCCTCACAGATAGACTTGAAACGTGTGAAAATTCTTTCAAAAGTTAATAAGAGGGACGTCTGTGTGTCTTTCAAACCCATGTCTGTTGAAATGTTAATTAATTCCTCACTGTTTTGTTAATAATCCTAGTTCTGTAACAGGGAAAATAAATGCTTCGTAACCACTGAAAACCTATCACAGGTAGAAAATCCTTTCATTGTAACTTGTCTCGTAAATGTTCTATTATGTCTGAAATAACATTAACCACTTCATTAAAAATCTTCCAATGCCGGAAAAGTGTGATATTTCTACTAACGCATGTCCTCCAAAATTCTATTTTGTGTAAGGAGGAATCAATTTTTACGCGTGCCAAGAAAATTTTGATAGTCGTATAAATGTCTACTAGGTCTTTGGAGCCACAGTCTCAACACTGAATAATATTTCTGAACCAAATATGAATACACAAACCCAGACACTGCCCTCATAACCATCAAACCTCCGCGTGCAGCAGAAACGTTATGTAACCCACTTCGTCACAAACCTCACACACACACACAACTTCGTCCAACATTTTCAATGCGTTTCTAACCTTTTTACACGTCAAGACCTTGACGAATGATACAGCGCCTACTAGAACATTCTGGAGCAATGGCTTTAAAACGAACTACTATAACAACCCATCATGCACCACGTGTACAAATGTCCAACCAAGGCATCTTACAGCCTTACATGTCAATTACATTGTAAATATCTTGAAGATTACCGTCATCTGGGTTATTGCGACATCTAGTATGGTCGATGTTTACCAACGTTTCAGAGTTCATACTGCCTCCGTCAGCAATCTTCAGACTCACCGCTGTGAAAATCTCAAATCCTACATGGAAACATTTTCTATAATACGAGTAGGTAAAGTTTTAAAACCTTGCATTGAAATATAAAGTATGTACACAAACAAAACTGTAGGTTTACTCATAAAGTATCTCGTCTTAAACGTATGTGTGTCTCACAAACGCAAGTAAAACAACTACGTAAATAGGTTAAACTCGAATAGCAAAACGATGGCTACTTTTAATCAGTTCGATATGACATCCTCGATTCTTCTCGAAACTATAGGATTCCAAAGTGGAACTTTCTTTGATAACCTGCAAATGACTGTTACCAATCACACAGAAGAAAGTCCCTAAGCACACATACGCCCTAGGTGGCGTGAACACCCTTAATTTAAATTCTTCTCTTAACCATTTTAAGGCGCAGGCTTGTATTTCCTAAGTTCCTTAAACTACAGTACCAGAGGAAACAACTATGTAAACTATTCACTGAACTTACATTCTTAGGTAATTGTAAAAAAAACATATATTATTAATTATTACTATTTTTGTGTTATGTATTTTTGCTACTGTTAACACACATGAAGTCTCGCGAGAGAGGTTTTGAAAGGGCACTGATAATATTGATTTACAATGTGTTTGGTAGTTTAACAATCCTTAATTGCATCCTTGCTTTGAATGTAACAAAATAGGTTGGTTGCTTACTTGGATCATTAATATTAATCTGATTTACATTATATAATAAAATAAGAACATATAAAAATATTGCTCTAATAATTCCTTCTTTCATATGACCATAGTTATATCAATTACAGAACTCAAACAAATAACACTTGATTCATCCACATGCAAAAATAAAAAATTGCAAAGACTTATCAAGCTGAAAAATGAATTCTCTTCTTAACCCATGAGCACAAAGCAAAAACTAAAAAAAGTTCTTAAATTCTGTACTCTCTTTACTTCACTGTCAACATTTGGAACTGTAATAGAAGATATTAACTCTTTCAATAGCTGTTATCACCTCATCTGTTCCAAACAATTTTTCCGGCTCTTTGGTATATGTCAAAAATAATTAGATCAAAGTATGATAAAGCGAAAAATACATAATCTTACACGAGAAAGTTTTCCCCTTTTATAGGTCTAGTACTGTTAGGATAAATTTATACAGAAAACTACGGTGGGATTAGCACATGAACAGGATAACTGGCAGATAAGTAATGCATACAAAATTTTTGTAGAGAAATCTATTGCGAAAACTGAAGAGCTGGTACAATAACATTAAGATGCAACTTAAGAACATGAGTACCCTAAAAAATTACAAATATACTGTGCATCGAAAATGTTTTGCTGAATGCCTTGTATATAAACAAAAAATGGACTTATCTTTCAGAAACTGAAGACAAAGACTGAATGAAGTAAAGTAGAGCCTATTTATTTAACCTTTACTTACTGTGTACCAGCTGGCCGTGCGTCACACTAACGTATCATTAAATTGTTACCCTTGGAGTAAATGTCCAGCAGTCCCATAGTACAGGGATTTAAATCCCATATTCTCATATGACAAGGGTTAAACAGATCCACTCCTTTGTTTGGAGACCTGTTTTGAGGCCCAGTAACACACTAATAACCAAAACTAAACTTTTGCATATGCATCCTTATAAACTGTAACCATGGCAGTATATGAAGGTAACGGAATATCCACAAGCTTGACAAATGCCTAAACGTGACTTGGTTCCTTCACCTGTATATTTCATCTCTGTCCGACACTCGGTTGGTCTCAGGGCAAAGGCAGTTTTAGATTACATATATTCAGAAATAAACACAATTGGGAATCTTTTTTGCAACACGTGACAGTACGTATGTAACACAATCACATAACACAAAACATTAAATAAATAGAACTGGAAATGTAGTAATAAAAACAACAGAATAATATACATTAAAATAATAATAATAAACTTAGTTTAAATTGTATTCATTTTACTTTTCACTAAAATAAAAAGAATATACTGAAAACAACTTCAAATTAAAAAAAAATATGATCAAGGTGCAGACATATTAGTAGCTTTTTCACCATTTTTAAAACATGGCATTTCCTTTCCCCATACTTCAAAGGTCAAATTCTTTTGTTCAAAATACATATAAATATACTTGTACATACGTATGTAGGAGCGTACGCACGAGCGCACATGCACGCACACATTCAGAATCACCTACCCACATTTCACTTTCTTAGTAATAATCTATTAATAAAACTACAGCCCACAACATCCCACATAAGTCATTTATATACATTGTTGTGAGAACCTGAAATCTCACCACACAATTTCATGGCCATGTGTGTCTACCAATAATGCCTGAACTAATTTTTATTAAACTTGGTATAAAGTGTAACCCATTCCACTTTTATACTTTTAATCTCCTGCCATCATTAACACCGATTGTGAATTCTTGGGGCAGTTGCAACAAAGACCCCAAAATCCTGAATCATGACAGATCACCAATAATACGTATCCCAACACCTTATGTAATTTTTTGTGGAATGCAAAATAATGAGACGGAAATCACGCAAAAACTACATTTAGTGTTACACATCACAGTAGTGATACCTAAAGAGACACTGCAGCTAGGAATGTGGTGACAGATAAAAGGCCAAATTCTCAATGAAAGTTAAATTATGTACTTAGTGACAGGGTAAAATTTTGACGTTACAGCAAACACCATCTAGATAGTGGAAATCTATGAATGAAATAGATTACTACATTACATAATTATTCATTACTGAAAGCCTATATCAACAACAAAACCAATTAGATTCAGATCAATATTTAAAAAAGCTTTATTCTGGGGGGGAAAAAAACTGTATAATTGTGTTGTAAGATATGTAAATAATAAAACAAATTAGCTCATAGTATTTTGTTCCAGTACAGTTTGTAAATATTTAGATTTTTAATATGTGACTTATTTTAAAACAAATTATCTCGCTACTTACCAAAATACAACTTAAGTTCATTATCTTACATACACACGTATTTCTCAACATAAATAACAAGTTGTAACAACAAATAAATTAGAAAGTTATTTTAAAATAACTAGAGACCAAACGATTGTGAGTTGACATACTTACTGGAACAGCAGCTGTTGATGCATTCGGCATACACCGAGTATGAGAAGAAGCTGGAATTTTCAACTGTGACAAATGAAGATTTCTGTCTTCTGGGTTGTTGCGCCGTGTAGTCCGGTAGATGTTTACCAACGTTTCAGAGGTTGTACTGTCTCCGTCATCAGGGCGATTCATCGCCCTGATGACGGACTACACAGCGCAACAACCCAGAAGACAGAAATCTTCATACTCACCACTGTGAGAACCTCAAATCTTACAACTGTGACAAACTTTGGCAGAAATTTATGCTTCGAACCTAACTACTCCACATATCAGATAATCCATACATTTACAGAGTTAAATTCACATATCTTTCTCTCTTCTTTTAAAAGAAGAAAAATAACTTTCAGCAGGTACAATGCCATACTTCATCCTGAAGTACACTTCAAACTTCAGGAACATGGTAATGCTATTTAACATCTATAACTAAGTCAGATCAAACATACAAAACACTCCTCTATGCAAACAAAGTTAACAGACTTACTTTTGATTTCATAACACATTAATACACAGCACTAATATTAATTAAACCATCTTTCGGTATATATGGAGTCCTAAGGCGAAAATACTACCCCTCTGGCAAAGCACAGATGGCATAATTAAGAAGGATTAGGATACATAATTTGGCATGATATAAAATTATCACATGGTCCTAATAGCTCTGTCTTGACTGATTAGCAACTCATCTATGCAAATATCATCTTTCCCTGATGTATCAATGAGTTTTAATCCTATGACCATATCGGTTGGATTCAAAAGATCTGGGCTCGTTTCCATTATGACAGATACAAATTCACGCTCCACTACAAGTTCTTGAAACATGTCGCAGTCTTCAATAGACCAATCACTATGTTTAGGTTGGATGCCTGAAAACAAATACCAAACCTGATATATGACAATACAATGAGAACCCTAAATTTTCTGTTACATATTTTCTCACCTGTAGCCAATTTAACGGTAAATTTCATTGACAGGGCACACACTCGTATACTGCAACATGAGTATTTCTTCAAATTTATAATGCCAGGAATAAACAAACAACAGAAATACACTACAGTGTTTCATGAACAATGATTTAAGAAATATATGGTATAAACATGACATTTGATGAAGATTTCTGTCTTCTGGGTTCTTGCGCTGTGTAGTCTGGTCGATGTTAACCAACGTTTCAGAGGTCATGCTGCCTCCGTCATCAGGGTGATGAATATGCTAATAGGGTGTATGGGGCTAGGTTTATAAGTGCCGGAATGTGAATGGAGTAGCCTGCCCCAAGCCAATGGGAGTGGACCAATAGGAGCGCGTGGGCGAGTGTGAGAGAAAGGAAAGGGAGAGTGGGGGCTCGGAAAGTGCGTTCGGTGGGACATGGGAGTTCGGTTGAATGTGATCGGGGCCCTGAAAAGGGCCAGGTTGGTTCTGGCGGTGCACTCTTGCTCGCTCTCGGAGTTCTCAAAGAATGTGAATAAGAGGCTTCCAGGATCGGCTCAGGTGAAGTCCATCTTCCCTGTTGAAACGTTGGTTAACATCGACCAGACTACACAGCGCAACAACCCAGAAGACAGAAATCTTCATACTCATCGCCCTGATGACGGAGGCAGTATGACCTCTGAAACGTTGGTAAACATCAACCAGACTACACGGCGCAACAACCCAGATGACAGAAATCTTCATATTCACCGTTGTGAAAACCTCAAATCTAACATGACATTTGATGTGAAAGAAATACCAATATCTGACCATTAAGTTTGTAGCACAAGAAATCCCACTACAAAAGTGTTTTAACATGTTAAAAATCATACTAAGTTGTAGTTGAGTTAACTCCAATCACAGAACCCAATCATTCAACCAATCTCCTCGATGCATTACACCGGTTCTACAAGTGCTGGCGCACTTTCTTTCACAAAACTCACCTGCGAGCTTCGCTTTGATGGCTTGGTAGGGCAGCTCTTTGAACTGGCTGGTTAAGGGCTGCAGCTTATCTAGTGGCAGAATTGACAAATCTCCATAGTCGCAAAAGTACACTGATACCGAACTACCACTGATAATATTGGACACACACACTCTGCAATTATACATGACATGGATAATTCAACATCAACAGGATTGTCACTGGGCAAAATTTTGGTAGTAACACTGGTTGGAACGACTGTAAATGCCCCATTTTAATATTTCTATATGCCAGTTGAAATACTTACTAAATACCAAAGTTTGGACAAGATTGCAACATTGCAGCAGATATGAAGTAGGTGATCTAAAATGTCATTTAAGCAAAATGTAATAATTACTTTAATAAACTAATTATGCCATTGTTTTATCACTCTTGGTACACTATTGACATCTGTATGGATTTATCCAGAGCTGAAAGCTTTTGCAATTTTCTAACGGGATGCAATTACTTCTCACTCACAATATTAAGGACAATAACATTTTTCTAGACCCACATATAAGCTGTTCCACCAGAACAAAGCATCGTATCTATAGTAAGCACATGGACAAAAATTAATTTATTCTTCTTTTCCGGTTTAACAACGTCTGTACATTTTCTGGTACCCTTTACGGGTCCCCAACTTTTCAGTTGGCTTGATCTATGGATATTCAGGACTCTACCTGTACACAAGACAACACAACACAGAAAAATATCCATGGCTTGAGTGGGATTCGAACCCACGGTCCCTGCAACCAAGCGGCACAAGACCCACGTCTCAGACCGCGCGGCCACTGCGGACCCCAAAAATTAATTTATAAAATATCTATAATCAAATGTGACGATCAGAACTCTCTCCATCAACGCAGTATCAGTAAGAACAGAATTACTCTGGATCTTACACTTTTCCCTTTTCTCCATTTGAAGCCAGCACACATCTCAATTCTCTTTAGGTCGTATGAAATTGGAGAATGGGTTATATGTATACTGATGAATCTAGGTGTATTGGAGGCAATTTTATAAAATGTAATGTCACTGGTTTTTTATTTTAAATGTAATACCTACAGCTATGGACCTATGGCCTGACTTGGCCTACTGGTAAGGATAAGACAACAGTTTCTGACATAAGAAGTTAAGATTACATTTATTCATAATGGAAACACAAACCTAATAAAGGAAAAAGGACAGGATAAATTAGTTCCAGCTGCTCTTAGACCAGGAGGCTGTATTTCCAGATGCCATGTTAAATAAGGGCCGACAACATACCTGTACCAGTAGCCATCATGATGCAGAGCAGCATATAATCCACCTTCATGAATGCTATCGGGCATTGGATGTGAATACTTCTGTTGCATGTACTGTATTTGCATATCCACCATCATTTTCTCCAGCCGTAATTCATCTTTATATGGCTGAACCTGATATCAATACAAAAATGTAAAGGATTATATCTCTAATATGTTATATGTAAAGGCATTGTTTGACACAGTCCAACAGCAATCTTTTCTGCGCATGGTAAAGAAGTTATATAAATAGTGAGGAATTTCTTTATCGGGACATGGCCTGCCATCACCAATCATGGAGGCCATCTTAAGTGATTTCCCTCCCCTCCAGTCACAGAGGCTTTCAGTCAAAGCGATCCCACCGCCTCTGGGTTCAAACTCCAGAGAACTATCCAACCAAACTCCTTTGCACGAAGGACAGGTTGTCTGATGGGATAACCTCTCAATAGCAGCAACAGACCCTAATTTGTATAGTCAAGGCTTCTACCATGACAAAATCCCAGTTAGCATAAGCAAAGTCCCATTTTAGTTGTAAGGCTCTGTTTACCATTTCCAGCAATGCCTCTGCCCTTAGTGAGCTTTTTGGTTGATTGGTATAAGCTGAATGAATATGGCATTCACAATAACTCTTCTCCGCAAAGCTGTTAGGTACTTAACTGAGCAGGTATCTGAGTGATCAGAAATGACACCCACATAGTAAGTTCACAGTGTCATATATATTATCGCATCTAACACAAAATACAGCAAAATTAAATGCCCACTGTTGTGCCTAATACATTAAAACATAGTGTATAAGAGAAACTTTACCCTTTACTTGAAAATGACCTGTCTTGCCAGGAACGTCTTCATATTTTAAGCTAATCATTTGTAACTCTCCAGAAATTTAATTTATTCAGTACTACATAATATACAAAGTAGGCCTTTTTTAAGGTTCATAGTGGAGAAAGGGTAATAAACTGATTCTTTGCCTTAGCTAATTTAATGATGCTCCTTGTGGTTAATGTTGGAATTATGTCACTTCTACCATATGCTACAAACATTTTTTCTGTTTTCCTTCCAACGGTGAACTTTCATTTCTGTACACTGTTCAATTTTTGGAAAAGAAATATTTTAAACTGTTCAGATAATTTGTGTTCACCCTGTATGTTGACAATAATAAAGAAATAGATGCACAATTACCGTAAAATTTCCTGGATTCGCTGCCATCGTTACATGTACATCAAAGTAATCACCAATATCTGGAATCTGTGGAGGACAGAGTCCCCTTGAAGTCGAAGCATCATCTAATACAGAGGAAAAAGGAGTTGAACGCAATTATAATTCACTGAATTGAATTGAAAATGTTCAATATGAATGATTATAATAAGTCTTTAATTTTAAAACCACATAATGAAGTTAATTTTTATAATGTAAATAATTGTGTTTAGACATGTTTAATCATAATTAAGTCATATTTGCTACTCACCATGTGACTCACAGCCTAGAGGACTAAGATGCTGTGGTGCCACCACGTTACTGCCACTACTGGAAGCTTCAGTTAGGCAACTTTTCAAGCAAGTCAGTGCTAGGGTTTGCGAATGTTCCAAATGCTTCTTGCAATGTAGAACGTTACCATCATCAACATTTGACTTCAACTGAGGTCTATGACACATTTCAGGAATTAGCAAATTTTACAGTTCTGATGGATTAGACACTGAAGGTTTGAAATCCACTCATAATACTAATCTTTGTAACATAACAATACAAATTTCAGAATCAAGTTACAATGATTTATCAGTTATTCTGAAGAAACCAAAATATACCTGTATTCAACAAGACATTTCTTTTCTTTTAAGAAGTGACCATAATAATATATGCAAATTTTCAAATTCTTCTTCTTCTTTCTATGGCGCAACAGCCCGAGTTGAGCCTTGGCCTCCTCCCATTCTGGAGGTTTCTTTGTCTTCAAAGTGTGCATTTATGAATAGTGAGTGACAAGCCCACTGCCTCTGCACAATTTCTACTCAATCCAGATTTGACTGCTGGAGCTATCAAATCAGGAGAGATTTGATTGAGAAATAGCTACTGAATTTTGCTTACAAAACATCTCTTTCATGCTCGTAAGGTCCTTTTACATGTCGTAAATGTACGACATGGGACTGCCGACTTCACTTCCCCTACAAAGGATGTTGTGCTATGGATTTTTATCGCCCTTAAAAATCCACTGACCTCGGCTGGGTTTGAACCCGTGGACCTTGGGTCCAGTGGCGAGCATGCTAACTACTAGTCCACCAAGGGTGACACAAATTTTCAAATGACAATTCAAAATGCAAAACTTCAAAACCCTATATTAAATGTCACTACTGTTTCTTCCACTCGCAAGTTGACACGGTTACCACATTGTTACTGATGATAAAGCACTAATGTATAGAGCCAAGATAGGGTATTCTTCAAAGATATCATGTACACACTAGATCTAATGAAAAACTGTCAATTTGTGACTTTAATATTGATGCCCATACTTGAAGCAGGGGATTGAAAGACACATTAACCTTTACTGTATCATAGTACAAATTTCTAACTCTGGCCAGAATGTAACTTCGGAGTTACAGGATTAGTAGCAGTTATGTAATGCACAGCTAGGTGGATAATGCATAATGCACTGATGATAAAGGTTAAAGCATTCTGAACAGGGAACACCAATACAGAACCATGAAAAAAATTGTTAACCAGACACTTACTTGAGGTCAGGATCTAAGGCCAACGTGTTATTAATAGACACAAGAAGATTGTCTGGCTTAATACGTTTAAATATCTCCACCATAGGAATCCTGTTTGGTGTTCTGGCAGATACTGTCTTTACTAAGACACATTCATCAAATGGAACAAGTTCTCGCACTCGAAGGACCATACGTTCACTGAATGATGAACATGGCACATTATAGAGGTGAACCTTGATGGCCTGTAAGACAAAACATCACGAATGAATGTTTCTGCAACCACAAGACACCTTCATATAAAACAGCAAAGATCACACAATATAAACTAGTTGTTCCCAATGTATCTTCACATGTACTGATCAAACCAATTTCTTTCCTTCTTTCTTCGAATATAAAAATGCAGGAAGAAGAAACAAAGGTGATGAAAATAAAAAATAGGGGACAAAGGAGAAGAGGGAGGAAAGAACAAATGAAACAGAAGGGAAAACAAGAAAGAAAAAAGACAAAGAGTATCCAGTTAGTCTTATGCAAATCTGCATATTAAGTTCTGTGTGTTTCTCGGCACTATCACAACATTCTCCTAAGAACTGTCCAATTTGTTACTTTCACTGTACTAAATAATTACAAAATTTTCAGACAGTTTTATATAAGAACTTACCTGATGAGGAAATTCAGCAAGAGATTTTTTCAGAGTTTCAAGTAAAACTAATTCTGATGGGTTCATTACCTCAGTGTTGCCAAAATCAACAAACATCACCTCAACCTGAAAGAAGACAATTTATGGGTAAATTATTTTTACATGTCTCAGTCACAAACACTACCCTACCACTGCGTTATAAATGTAATAAGACTACTGGCTTCCCAGGATGGATGCTGCTTCATGGAGGTAGTATTTAAAGATAGGTTATAACTAGGGTTTGGATGTCCATGACATGTCATATTTTTATTGGGGCTTCTATTTTTATTCTAAACTAAAATTAAACACTAATTAGGTCATTCTAATCACAATTAAGCTGTTTTTATTTTGCATATAAATGCAAATTTAGGCCATTTTTATGTGTTTGGTCATATTTGTAGTTAAATGCATATTTTGGTTATATTTTGAGGATAAAATTCATATTTTGGTTATATTTTGGGTACAAACTTTTACTTGTAACTACATTTCTCAGACACTTGCAGTGATTCCCTATGTGAAATGATGGTGTCTGCCAACTGAACAAAGTGAACAATGAGCAGTTCAAATTTTCTTGGAGAAATATATGACTCAGTTAACTCCAGACAAATCAACACTAAGAAAAAACTGTGTATAGTCAGTGCAGTAGTTTTTGGCCGGTGGAGAAGCTAGCGGAACTGGCGGACGGGCGTACTCTGTGTACCTGAGGTGGCATGGTCAGTGTATTTCTTTTGTTTGAGCGTTCAGTCAGATAAGTTCCTCAGTGCAGTCAGCATTATACTATCGCACAAGTGACTCGCTCCTAGCCTTCCCCTTGAAAATTCCACCGGCCAAAAACTACTGCGCCAACTATACCTGTCTGTTATGAAGATGTTCTGAAAAGAATTGCATGTACTGTGGGCAAGAATAAGATTTGGGTTTCGGTTGATGAAGCAACGGATGTCTGCTGCAGATTTGTAGCAAATGTCGTTATTGGCACGCTCTTTGCTGATCGCCCTGGTGACTTATTCCTTCTTGATACAGTAAACCACTCCTCTATCGCTGTAATTTTAGATAACGCCATGAAACGTTTGTGATGTCTCAAGTTACAAGACCATATTGTACGACAATCTAAGATTTTCATTTGAGGCCTTGAAAATGCAAATCGTTATATATTGTAATGCTGCCAAGAAAGGAGAATGAAGAAAGGTACTTAATATTTTGAAATTTGTTTATTTATTTATTTGTAATTAATGAATTTGAAATGCATGAAAGGCTCTTTCTTAAAATGTATCTTATTTTTATAGGAGCACGTATACTCAACATCTGATGCTGATCCAAAACGACGCATTTACAACTTAAAGAGACTGAGGTTTTTGATTAAAATTGCTAGGAAATCAAGTAAAGTAACAGTTGTATATGCATATGTAAATAAATAACATGATTGAAATACAAAACGCGTTTTTTAAATTTTAGCGAATATTTTTTCATAACAAATTAGGTCATATTTTGCCTTTTTTGGGTCATATTTCGCTATTTTGGGGGGCATATTTGCATGCTTATTTCTCGGTTTCTTAGGTCATGAACATCCGACCCCTAGTTATAACCATCATTCTGCAAGAAGCCTGTCACAAGTGTTTTAAATACAGTACGAGCAAAATTTTATTTGCTATTATGTAGCCAAGACAATTATATTTTGGAACATGAAGACTACAAGAAAGGTAAAACAGACATACAAAGTGCAAACACATGTTTGTAAATAAAAAATAAAAAAAGGAACAAATTATTAAAATAACTGATAGCTTACTGAAAACATAAGCTCAACAAGAGTGACATCTATGGTATACATTCTGTAAAATAACTAAAAACAACTGTAATTCTCAGAACAGCACATTTCATCCAAAATATATGATGTAATACACACCGTGAAACGTAATTCAAATTCAGCCGCACGTTATAGCTCACAGACATATCGAAAATGTCAACAACAAAAAAAAAGACAAAAAAAAAAAGAAGAAGAAGAAGAAGAAAGATATTAATGGTGGTGATGACCATACAATAACAACAGATCTTCAAATATACTGGGAAACACTGTTTTAGTCAGAACATCCACCAGCATGCTCTAAAATATGATACTTTTACTTGTGAGGTTGAAAGAAATTAGTTACTACACCTCTCTCTGCCCATTAAGTTTCTTTGTGATGGCAGCTCGGTACCAATTGCCATCTTCATGGTATCGAGCCAGATATAGTCGTGAAGGATCGGGAGAATGGGCATCAGAGCCCTTCAGAATCCTATCCTGTTTAATACCAGATTCAATCACACTGCATAAAAGTGAATGTAGGTAATTATAGCTTTCAAACTGCAGGAAGACATCGCCTGTATCCGTCACATGTGAGATATACACCTCCTCTACATTACCTTCCTGAAACAAAACAAACATTCAAATGCAAAGAGGGACGTAACATTCATACAGCAGCAAATATGAAGATGGCTTTCTTCTGGGTTGCAGCAGCCATGTAGTCTAATACAAGTTTACTAATGTTTCAGGGGTACTTGCAACAATTTAGAAGCCAGCCATCTTCATACACAGAAGCAGAAAAATGTCTTCCTATTACGAATATGTTAAGTGCTTACTTTGCCTGATGAGAAGGTAAACTTACCGATGGTAAATGAGGTGCTACTGCATCCTTACTGATATTTTCTACCAACACAGTGTTCATATTCAAATCTTCGTCTGTACTCGTATCAAACAGCACAATGCCAACTCCTGATTTCGTTGGGTTTGGCAGAGACTTTATAGAAGCCACCAGTGTTCTACCAAGAATAGTATCAGTAATGTGATGTGCCACATTCGGATCATCTGCGAAGTCTTCCAGGCCCCATAAGAAACAACGAATAGCCTGAAAGTAGCAGATTATATATTCAACATGCTGAAGGGAATGATAACATAAATGATGACAGAATAACAGATAACATTTGAATGTTATCATATCAATGGTCATGAACCTAACAGATACTACATATGTTTTTTTCTCTACAAGAACATTAGTACTGAGGATTTTTGTTTTTTACCAAATTATGTTTGTATGATAAAAAATAAAAATGTATTATTTCTTTTTATAAAAATCAACAGCATGGTTATTACTCTGGTTCTTTACACTATTAAAATAGTCACTTAGAATTCCATCATCATCATCATCATAAGTCAGCAGAATAGGTCAGTCAGGATTTTATATGGCAGGTATACATTAAGATGAAACTACTGGAATACGCATATCAATCAAGCACATTCTCTGCTTATTTGTGACTGCTTTCTTCAAACCTGGATCTAAAATTTCTAAAATATTGCTATTGCAATTTTCATAACATTATGACTAACAATAACCTACAATACTTCCTTTTCACTGGAAGAAGATACTGCTACAAGACTAAAATAAACACTTGCTCACACCTGTGCTGGTAACGTTGAAAAACGTCGCTCCAGTGTATGCAGCTGATTTAAAAGAACGTCCTCTTCATCTCCATGATCAATGTAGAACACCCGTCCTTCAGTACGTGTCTCTTCAATTTCTACAAGCTTAACACGATGCCAGCAATCATCCATTTTAATGGCATAAAATGAACCTATCTCTGGATTAGCTGCAACATTTGTTTGTCCCATGTAAAATATTTCCATATCTGTTGCCAGATTTTCATATTTTACCTGATGGGGGAGGGAAAATCAGAAAAAAAGGAAGAATTAGATGTTTCCTTACATTTGTAATTATAATCCTGGAGAAGACATGGCGATCGTTATCAGTAAGCATTCAGAATCAACACAACAGAAAAAGCAACCTCCAGAAATCCAGTCACACATCCTAAGCCAGGTATGACACCAACAGCTTGGAATGCTCATCAAGAACCCTGAAGAAAAATGTTAAAGCGGCTCGAAATGTTCTAAACCAGTGATTCCTACAATTGTGTTCCGCAACACCTTGAATTATAGAGATCTGACAACTTAACTAATAACTTTCTAACCACTATGGTATAATTTTTAGGTAGTCTCCTTAAGGGACCAGATTCTTACCTTGCACTCTGATCTGAAACCACACTATGTTTCAGCACATTAAGCATGGTAGAAGCTATTAAGTAACATCACAATCAAGATTTCTAATTCAATCACTTCTCTTCCCATTTTCCCTAGAGAGGACACATTTTACTGAAACTCCACAGAAATAGACTTCCAATAAATGTTGGCCCTACTTCATTTACTGTAATTAAATAACTGAAACTCACACTATATTCCTCTCCGATCAGTCGACCCCAAATCTTGTTTGTTGAATTTCCACATGTAATATACATATCCCATGCATCTTCCTGAGGAAATGCGATGGACTCTGGCACACTCGGTTGAATGGGACTCACTGACAGTTGACTAAGAGATGCTTCCATTGATAATGCAGGTGCTTCAATACTTCGTCTCTGAAATGTGCAAGAGCACTGTCAGTGAAGAGAAATATGCCAGATTCTGGAGGCACCATGTTACTCCAAAATGTTGGCACCCATCCAAAATATTACACAACACACAGAGAACTAGCGAGATTACAATAGATTACAAAATTTATGTTTATAATTTTCTGTATCTGCATATGAAATTTCACATATGTGTCAGGAGCTAACAATTAATTTAGTCATGGGTGCCATGTTGTTCTACATTCCAATTGCAACATAACATTTCAAGACGTGCTGCAAACATCACTTCCACTGTTATTTACGGGTTGCATGGAAAATGAACATGTAAAGGTGGGGTTGTATGTAATTGTATAAAGTGTATACAGTACTAGAGTTATACAAAACATCTATCAATCAATTGAAAAGTTATGGACATGAATATACCTTTCTTTATAAAATAATAACATCAGGTGAAAACATGAGTCTATAAGAGGGAGTATGTTTTGGAGTCCCCTACACAATTTATGAAACAATGAATACAATATAAAAATTTTACCACTGAGATCATTCTATTGCATATAAAGTATAGTACTTACAACATAAGAAAATTTAAACTGACTTTCTAGCCTAGTATTTATTACTATCAAGACTGAATATGATTTGATAATCAGAAGTAAAAAATATCATTACTTGGTCTGTCTTTTTATACTTTTTTAACAGACTGCTGAACTTTTATCTTCAAGGTTCCTAGGCTCACAAATACACGACATATCACCAGGGAACTGGCACGTGTACTTGTTCTCACATAAGTGCAAACTGAAATGGAAACATCTAACTGCATAAGTAACTACTGGAGAAACTTATATTCACGACACAGGTATTTAGCACAATATATGGTACGCACTCTCCTGAAATGTAATACATAATCTTATGAAGGAAATTACGTAATGAGGACTTATATCATTTGTAATCTTCACTTAATTTTGTTAGGGTATACTGCATGTGAGTATTCTGCTGTGGATCTGAATTCACTGCTCTCAGTTTTCAGTCAGTATACAGCAAAAAAGGTATTTTAGTAACTATACCAAATGTTAATTGCCAGTGGCTCCAAGACTCAAAGTCTTCAATGGGCCAAGGCATATAAAGAACATAACACTCATGCACCTACCAGTGAGGTTTTAGAAAGATGAAGACAAGAATGTGTTCAACTGTAACTGGATGCCTTCAAACCAGTCAACATAACCATCTTTTCTACAAATATTTATATTAAGTCACAGAAGAAAAACAACACTGAATAACTATTTCTGAAATCTTAGTATACCTCAGACCCATTATGCATGTCCTAGACACCTACAAATATGGTAGAAATCTGTACAAAATTTACCATATTAACAATCAAAAATAATTATGTGCAGTAACTTACTGCAGACTCTGTTGGTGAAGCCAGCAAGTTAGGTGTAATGATGGTCCTATTTTGAGCCACGTGGTCCAAACTAACCAGCGGACATCTTTCCATTATCGTCAGCCAATCATCAGGTAAATTTTCATTGTAACGTTCATAATAATCGATGCGAATCTGTGTTGACCACATACCAAAACGATTCCCACCAACTATCTACAGAGAGATAAAACACACTGTAATTAATTAAACAACGCCACTTCCCTTTTTCATAAACACGCGAGTCCCTTATCCAACAAAATGCCACACAATTATAGTTACAGAGATGAGTGAAAAACCAAACATTAGATTCTGAAACTGCATGTCACACTTCAACAAAATCTGCAAACTCTAATAAACTTAACCCTTTAAAGGCCTTCTATTCAGCCCAGAAATCTTGGCAACCAAGCTAATAAAAATAAATGAACTACATACTAAAACTGGAAAAGGAATGGAAATAAGTAGGGTCCTGGCTCACCTGGTGCTCTCTGTAAGGAAATTCTTGATCAAGCAATGAACACTTTTCCTTGATCATTGAACTAAAAGGTATGTAAGAGTGAAAAATATTTCAAAATGTCAAAGAACATCTGAAATGCAACACAGGATCTAGAATCCAAAGAACCAGAGGACCAAAGGACCAGAGATACCTTAACAAACGGCAGACGGATACTGGAATCATGTTTAACCTTTATCATCTGTGTCACAGCTTACACAAATCCAACTGGCTATGCATCGCCAGCTAAACAGTTAATCTTTGAGCTAAATTCTGGCCAATTGCCCCTTAATACAGTGGTTTGAATCCCCAATACTAGTATGATAAAAGTTGGAGACGTTTGGCTTTTTACACACACATGCATAAAAAATAACATCGTGGAATTTTATAATCCAATCTTGCACGTACATGTGATATCCTTGTCATAACTGTATTCTCATCCTGGGTCCCACCACTACCACTCTCTTTGATGTGACTCTGTAGTACTTCCAGAGCTTGCTTAGCAACTAGGTGCATTGCTTCTCCTGGTGATGATCGTTCATCAGGATAGCTACTGATACTAATACCATCAATCTGAAAATAACAATCAGTTAGTGCATAATTGAACAGAAACCCTTAGAAGAGTAACATGGATTCAAATCCAAGAGTAAATACCGGGTCTACAATTTGTGTGCAGCTAAACGTGCCAAAGATTTCCTTGGACTTTTTTCTAAGAAAGCCCCAATTTCATCCAATTTCCGTCAATACACTCCGTTTCCTGTTCTTCTTTTTATCCAAAACTGATCCCGTACTACGAAATTTTTTTATTAATCTCTCTATCGTGGGCCTGCTAGGAACACTTTCACCGGGAAAATGTCCGCGATATTTACGGCGGCATCTTCCGGAGGATGAATATTTGGCATATGTTTCGACTAAGAACACACGTTGCTTAACACTATACACCATATTATCAACGCCAATCCGCTACAAGACATGCAATGAAACTGATTCGCCTGTGACTCGTGGGAGGAGCGCGCAAAACTCCCGCCCACATCAACAGAGCGCCGGCCGACCATGCACTCCAAGCACGACCGCAGCGTCATAAATTGTGTTGAGAAACTACATAACCAGAAGACAGTCTATAATCTGGCAACACAAGACAAAAACAAGACTGCATGGTACCACTAATCCAAAATACCACAATCAATGTATGCAATTAAAGATAAGTTGTTGCATTTTCAATGTCCGTCACAAAAATCTACGCTACCATAACAGAATTTAATCTTTTAAATTGTAAATCAGATACAAAAATGAAAGAGAAAAAATATTTACATTAACTCACCTGTTTCATAAAACATATGGAAACCAACAAACTTTGTAACAATAGCAACAGGTGCCTCAAAATTATGTATACAAAATATTTATCTTCTGAACTGCAACAGGGGAAAGCAAAATAAAAAAAAAAAATCAATTTTTTCTTTAGTGTACCATAAAAAATAAACAGGTTGTTAAATCTGTGATTTTAGGGAAGTTTTTAAAAATACTGGAAATGAAAATAAATCAAAATCCAACAACTTTTATACCAAAGCAAAGGTATGCAAACTATTTAATCAAACAACACAGCTTTAAAAAAGGAAAATTTAGTTAAAATGTGTTGCTAGTAAAAAGAAGTTCAATAACATATAGCTTTAGTGGTGGTTATGGAACACACATTTTATCCATTGTTCTGTGAAAAAAATGAAGTTCAGTACTAACCTTCACTGAAGAGGAATAGTATTGCTTGCCATCAGACATCCGTGGTATAATCTTGTATGTAGGTGTACTCATGCCTTTTGACTGAGCAAAATTGTCAAGTTGCTTTATAAAATCTTCACCACCAAGAGACACTCTAGTAAACTGTTCATTAAGAGGTAACATTACTTGTACCTAAAACAAATATAAATAAAAATGTCATTTATTTCTTAGAAACTGGCAGGAAACAGTCTTGGAATGAACATAACAACAGACGCTTCCCATTTCCTAAGATAAAATTTCAACATTAACCCCCCGTCTGCATTCGGTTTTTCCAGGTACTAACTTGCTTTGAGGTTTTCAACTAAAATGTAACTTTTTATTTCTCTCGTGTGCCCATTTCATCCTTCTTGATTCATCACATTAATAACACTACATGCAGCATTAATACTGTGAAGTTCCTAATTATGAAATGTTCTCCATTCTTATGTTGCTTTAGCTCTCTTAGGTCCAAATGTTCTCCTCAACACTTTGATCTGAAATACTCTGAACATCTATTACTCCTTCAGAGTGAAGAACTGTTTCACAGTTGTGGACAAATTATAACTGTGAATCACACAATTATGGGATGAACATAAAGTTACTACAAAGAATCCCACCTTTGGAGTTTTCTGTTCTGCAACATTCAGCCTGGCATGCAGTGGTGTCAGTGGTGAAGTTTTGGTATGGTCCCTAGGGCTTGTAACATCATAAGTGTTACTAGCTGCTCTGCTATCAGTTACTTCTGTTCTATTCAAATTCAGCATCATGTTCTGAAATTTGTAATCAAGTCCAATTATAATTTAACTAATTAAATAGTTGGTTTTGGCAACACCGCTGAATACTACACGGAGCAAATTGGTTAAACATCCGAGATATCAGGTTCTCGTGGCAGTGATTATGAACATGGCTGTCTTCGGGTTGTTGCGCCATGAAGCCTGGTAGAAGTTTGCTGATGTTTCAGAGGTGTTTCATGCCTTTATCACTGCCCTGATAATGGAAGCAGCAAGCACCTCTGAAACGTCGATAAACTTCTACCAAACTACTCAGTGCAACAACCCAGAATACAGCCAACTTCAAATTAAACATTTGTTTACTTTCCATTACTTTATACTTACAGAGTGAAATGTCAGTAAAACAAATATCACTGCTAGTGTACTCTCCCTTGTGCAAGGACTGTAGTAATGTCTGTCACCTTAAATTTTTCCTCTAGCCTCTGCGTCCAGACCGACTCTGGGGCCCACCCAAAATCCTGTCCAATGCATATCAGAGTCCTTTCCCAGAGGTAAAGCGTGGCTGGGAAATGACGGTGACCACTCACCCCTATCTAGTGCTGAGGTTAAGAATGAGTAAGAGCTATACTCTCTCTCCCCATAAGCACCAACGTGGGATATAGCAGGACAGCTTTACTTTTATATATACACACACATACTTTGCAGCAATTTGGATGTCATAACACATTAAGTCCTGACCTGTTGCCCATAAAACATGAAGTTCCACAGGTAATTTTTTTAATGGTTGGTATCAGTATGAACATCCAATTTTTCTAATAGTCGATACCAGCATGAATGCCAAATTTGCAAAGTAACATCCTTAAGAGAAGCGACAATCAGTCTTTGCAATGTGGTATAAAAACTCTTTAAAGGTTGATAAAACTGTAACAGTTCTTATATCAGATCACATATCTGTAAAACAGGACTTTGTGTATTGATACTCTAGTAGTCTTTGAACATGTTACATTCCTTTCCAATCTTGCAGCTGCACAACGGAACAATTGTTTTTAGATAGCGAGTACCCTATGTTGATCAAAACTTCAAACAACTGCTTAAAATATAATCAAAAAATGGCATAATCTACTACCATGCTGTACTACAATGTGAAATACACGACACATAAATGCAAAGAACCATGTCAATAACCTGAAATGATGAAGGACTATAAAGACATCACTTACTCACAATGAGAAATCCAGAAATACAATTATGATTTATGAGATAATTAACAAATCAACCCACTTCCAAAGTTTCACAGCACATTTCATAAAAATATTTTCACACACACCATAAATCTTTGTACACTTTCCTGTGGTAAGTATATGAGGCCAATGTCCTGATTACAAGATGAACAATACTTAACTTGGACTTAATTTAAACAATTTTTATGTTCTGAGCAAACAAAGAGCAGATGCCTGCAATGCACAATGGTGGAAACATACTGCCTGTCAATATTCATTTGCTCGTCCACGGCTATTTACACATGAAAGAAGATAAGAGAACAAAGCAGAGAGCTACGCTTACTGGTGGTGATGGTATATTACACATGGAAAATGCGTACAAAGAATGTAACAAAATTCATAATTGGGAAGACAGTGAAAAAATTAATTAAAAGGGTACCTACCTCGTTCTTAGCTGAATTTCCTGTTACTAATATTCCTTGCACTAGTCTATCTTGAGATTTAGATTTTGATACTGCTGGATAAGGTACAGGCTTAGAATATGGAATGTTTTCTGGTTGAGACAATCGAAGAAACCTAGGGGGCTTCTCAAATGCCGAATAGGAATGTTTCCCTCCACCACAGCCACTGCTACCATTACTGGAAGATGCAGGTTGTTGATGTGTACTTTGAGGTTCTGGTGATGGAGAATGTGCAAAGGAAACCTACGGAGAAAGAATATATGAAAATTATTAGCAGTGAAAAGTCTGTTTACCATTACTGAATGGCATGAATAATAGATATTGGGATACTACTTCTACTACTACTGCTGTCTTCCATGTCCTTCCAATTCATAACTCATCATCATCATTCAATTTAAAGCAATATGAACTATATATCAAACACTTTTAAAAACAAAAAGCTTTTCAACAATGCCCATCAAATATCTTCTGTACAATGTACATTGTACATTGTATATCTTCTGTACTAAGTAAAAGTTTAGTCATCAATTATAAATTACATAGAAAATTCAGTGCTTCAGGTTATAATGGTGATGGAATAGACCATGAAATATAATCTAAATATGATGATGACCGTTGTTATTTATAAGAAACAGACTGATACTGTAAACTTACTACACGAGAATCTTTCTTCAAAGGAAACTTTACGCTATCTGGATGATTATTTACAGTAACACAGAGTGGCATTTGAACACTGTCACGGGTGCAGCGCTTGGATGTTCTTACAGATATATCACTTTTTGGAGGTCTCCAGGAAGACGCTGCTGTACGACGTGGAGGCACCTATACATGGAAACACAAAATAAAAATACAACAGTGCCTACAATAGGCTGAAAGTTTTTGAGAACAAAGTGTTTAGGAAGACATCTGGGCCAAAGAACAATAAAGTAATAGCAGGGAGAAAATTAATGTTAAGATCAGTGTGTCCTTGAATGAACAAACCATCTGTTCAGCCATGCATCCCCTCACATTAAAAATAATATATTTTTTTATATTTAGTTACAGATTAATATTGCCATACCTCAGAATATGCGAAAAATCTAAAATCTGGGAAGAACATATTGGGTTTCTCCTTCCAAACAGCCATCAGTAAGTGATATACTATATTTTACCAGAGTTGCCAATGAATTTATACTTCAGGAGCTCACTTAACATTATGTTTATCTCAGTTTCAGGTTCATTAATACCAGGACCAATTGTTCACATACCCAACAATGACAGAATTATTATAAACAATTTTAAGTCAATATTAACATTCCAAAATTTGAACTGCTGACCACATATAACAAATTTTATACTCTTATTTTTTTATCTATCATAACAATATACCAGAAACTAAAAGACTTAACTGAAATGGATCCAGCCCAATATGCTCATTCATATATAAAAATTTACTAATTCTTTGGTAGCATTTCTGTCAGTGTAATCAACCTAATGATAAACTATGGTCAAAACATGAAGTGTTTTTAAATAACACATATATCTAAGTGTTGTGTTAACGGTATTTAATTTCATATAATGTTGGAATCTGTTTCTCCAGGCATATAGCAGGCCATAAATGAGCATAGTTGTTTCTTTTATTATATTGTTTCCATTCCATGAATACAGATAACATTTGCTCGTGAATATGTAAGCTGATATATACTGTTGAATGTGATCAGTTTACAAATTTGCAAGATGTTTTCTTTTCAAAACAGAGACAAGCAGAATAAACTTGTCAAGGAAATCCACAAAATATGCAGCATTACCAAGATGCAATGACCATCATTACAAAATACAGAAATCCTAACACCTTTCTATCACTTGCTACCTGCAGTGAGCAGGTGTGTGATGCTCAAGTGAAGGGACTTTACCTTTGAAATCTATTCAATAATTGATTCTGTAATGGTACTCACATATCTTAATGTGTCCTTATGTCTTTTTGAAGTAGACTTCTGCTTTGAAATCAATGCAGCCAAATGTTCTGTGTTCTTATTTGGAATGGCATTTACGATCATTTCCCCACCACGGCCACGTGAAATTATGACATCAGGTACACTCTTCAAAAACAGCTCAAGGTTCTCAAAACCCAGCTTCTGATAAGGGATCCTGGACCCCACTAACATTTTATAGTCACCTGCAGTTAAAATAAAACATTACACTCAAGACAATATATGTGCAAACCTGAGTTTTGATAGAGTAAAGAAATTTTCAGTCCCTAGCACATAAAAATCAACATTAAAATCAGTTTTTATTATAATTTTTAAATCCACGATTTATTAATATGAACTTCTGTAGTTTAGTAAGCAAAGTGATAGGGCTCCACAACAAGAGTCCAATTCAATTCAGCACCTTATAACCTAGTATATCATTTGTAAACATTTTTAATACAGACAGACTGAGGGCAAAAGTGTACTCACCATTCCTGATCTTATAACAAGCTTGTAGCTGAGTGGTTAGGCATATTACGGCCCTGATAGTAACCATTTCTTTGGTATGGGAGAACAAAGGGTTAACATTTCCTGCCTTTTCAAGTGGTTGGGGAACCTCAGCTAGAAAACTGTACCTAGTACATGTTCTAATGGATAAGCCAAAGCATTACACTTCCCTTCACCTCAATTGAGTCACAGTAACATCCTACATAAAACGTTTTCATTCATTTTTCAATTTATACAAAATATTTCATTGTACAAGTATAGAGCCACAAAGACCTTTAAAAAAATAAAAATTTGTCAACGTTCTTTGAGGTCTTCCTAGACACCCACTTCTACCACATTACAATTTATAATTCTTTAGAGGATCATATCAAAACCCAGTTTTAAAATGTTCTTTGCAATTTGTTCTGCCTCATTACAGAAATCCTGTTGATGGTGAAATTTGTAATGGTTTACATTTCTTTAATTTCTTAATGCCTGAAAAGGGTGTAACATGCTATCCCACAATAAACATTTCAGTTGATTATGTAACAGTTCTCACTATAGTATACAAGTGTGGGACTCCAAACCTGACTGAAGTATGTACCTGAAACTCAACTTGCTTCTTGTAACCTAACCTAACAGAAACTATGCACATTAATCATTACACACATATTCTTACAAAACGTCCTGCATCAGATGTATGTAAACTGCTTCTTACTTTATTTAACAACACATTTTCAACTTCATATGCTATAAGACATTGAACAAAATCATGATTTTGAACTATGAATTGGTAAAGATGTAGATGGAAGCAGCTGTAACCCACTTTAAGGTACTATTCCATCAGTCTGGAGAGAATGAGGAAAAGTATTGTAGCATCAGAATAGCCAGTCTTCCAAACATGAGGAAGCAATTATAACTACACCATTGAGCAGATAAATCTAACACACTGCTTATTCTAGTAATGGTGAACTCACCCTACTGCCATAGAAATGCCATATACATTATCTTTTTTAACCGTTTCAAGGCCATGCTTATTTTTGTGTTGCCACTGTTAGGGTAACTGGGGTAGTTCAGTCAGTATAGTGACTGACTACATACTGGACGACCAGGGTTCAATCCTGACAGGGGCGAAGGATTTTTCCTCTAGCTTCTGTGTCCAGACTAGCTCTAGGGTACATCCAGCCTCCTGTCCAATGGGTACCAGAGTCCTTTCCCAGAGGTGAAAAGCGGCTGAGGCATGATGCTGACCACTCACCCCTATCCAGGGCTGAGATTAAGAATGAGTAGGAGCAATACTCCTCTCTCCCCTCAAGCACCTACGTAGCATGTAGATGTACAGCTTTACTTCCACTTTTCTACCACTGTTCGGCTAGGCTGTTTCATACCTTTACAAAAACGTCACCTCTAGTACAAATTCAGAAACAGAATGAATACTTTTGCTTTCATTTACTACATGGCACAACCCAGAAGACAGCCATTTTCAGACTCACCCCATGAAAACCTCAAATTGTAGTAAAATATGAAGCAACATATGAAAAAAAATATTTTTGTTACACTCTGTTTTGCATCTTTCTCTGTTACACAAGAGAATAGAAGGAATTATATTAACAGACTGCAAAACATTTGTGTGTATATATGAATTAGGTTATGTGCAAATTATTGCACCACTGCCACAAAAGCGTGAAAAACAAGATGGAGGAATCCATATTTCTGTAATAACATGAAAGATCACTCTTTCATTTGCTGACAGTTCTCTATGCATCACAGAAAACATTTACATGATTAATGTGTGAGTGAATAAGCTGGTAACAGAGGTATTACTTACGATCAAGATTTCCAACTGAAATTTCACCTTTCACTGACAGAAGACATGATCTCAACGTAGAGATCACCTGGTCTCTGTCTGTTTCAACCATTTTCTTTCTAGAAAGAAAAGTAAGCAACCTGAAACACATATCTTGACATTATTTTAATAATTATATAAACTGCCAAACTGTAAGTCATCATACATAAAATCCAGGTAACCTTGAAACATGTGGATTTTGTATATACTCAGGCACTAAGGATATTAGAGCTTGTTCATAATATTGGTGTTTCCAAACACTCATTACTATCATCATCCTCCACTACAACCTTCAGCATCAGATAGAACCAACTAAAAACATTAGCACAGCAGCAATGTACCTGACTCACATTCTGGAGGTACCCAGTTTGAATACAGCCAGGAACATGTCTTCCTGCATTTAAGTAATTGACAATTCTGCCGAACAAAACTTTGCTGTCACAGAATCTGAAGGTTCAACACCATCACCACAAGAGCCTCCTACTAGACTACAAACAGGCAAATCCAACTGATAACTGTATAACCTACTTCCCCAAGAACTACTTTAATTTCACATTCATATCAATACAAGCTGGGATATTTTAATCAGCAAAGTGACTGGTTGGGGTTTGATTCCCATCAAGGACATGGCATTTCTCTCTCACACCACATCCAAACCAGTTTCACAGCCCACTCAGCCTCCTGATCAATTAGAACCAAGGAGCTTGTTCCCTGCAGGAAAAATTGAATGGAGCAGACCACTCAACTCACGCTCAAGTCAATTATATAGAAGTTTATCACCAAGCCACTCACAAACCTTCATAATATAATATCTATGTACACCAGAACTTTACCTTCACCTTGCCTCATACGTACACATAGGTCTAACAAATAGTTACTTGCCTTGAGGTTTTTAAACAAAAGTCTGTTACAAAATTCTTCACAACAAACTTTGTTATAATAACACTAAATCATAACATGCAATACCTAATCTGAAACCTCTACCTATTTATTCTGCTTATATATGATATTCAGTATCTTGTTAAAGCTGAAGAAATATCCAAATGCAATGACCATAATTCATAAAGATATTACTGAATACACCATACACAACTTAAATTCTCACTGACATTTTAAATGACAAGGCTATGAAAAAGGAGACTGTAACAGCTGAAATATGGGTCTACCCCTTCACTTTAATGGCACACCAACTGCAATACAAGTGTTAAACTTTCTCTTATACAGCTGATCTGCTCTCTCTTTTCTTAGTGGCAACTCAGCAATTCATGTAGAACAAATGGAGATTAATAACATTAATGTAGACCTACACCTAGACTTCCTATCTGAAGAAACTAGAATGTAAATACACACATTTTCCATGCATTTGCTATGATGTTGCATACCTCATTAACCTAGCGTTCATTTACTGGTATAAAACCAATCACACTGGATGATTAATTATAAATTAAATCAATCAATATGAGAGTGCATCAGTGCAATTTGGATCACAATATTTTTCTGAATGACATACAGTATCTTATATAAAAATGCAAAATAAAAGTATTGCTAGATATTTTCCATGCTTGTGAAAGATTTCAAAAAGCATAAAAACATGACAAAGTAAAAAATTCTAAAAAATTTAAAAATGTAAAAATACTGCAAATATGGATGCAATTTAAGAATCATTCTTCATAGTTATCAGAATTGGTGTAATCAGTCTATATAACAGAATAATTTGATTAATGAAATAATCACTTACTGGTACCTAATTTTTATGCAATCAGGAAAATGGTAGAAAACTAGAATTTATTGTGAAGTTAGGACCCTGATAGGTGGTTTTATTAAACAAGTTTCACTATTTACTAGTTCCCTTTCAAGTTTTCCACCTTTAAATACAATTAAAAATATAACACATGGCACTAGCCCAATATATGAAGATGGAGAAGTTATTATGACACTTGGAAAGGTTTAGAAATATCACTTATGACTAGGTTAAAAACATACTGTACATACTGTCATGTCACTGCAACATGTACTTTCTAAAACATTTTTTATTCTAAGATGATTAAGAATGGCTTAGGCATACTGCAGTTGTGCAGCATCTGACACTTTTAAAACTGTTTTCTAAAATAACTTCTTAATTAATAATAATTAAGTAACCAACTTAACCATGTTTCATGTTACTCTGATAATTTAATATGAGCACTGACATTTCCATTTTAAAACAAATTCCTCTTTGTGAAGTTGTATGGGGACATCCTTTCCCAGTGCACAATGGCCTCAAACAAGGGGATGCCTTATCTCCAATGCTTTTTAATTTTGCTCTAGAATATGTCATCAGGTAGGTCAGAGGGAACCAGGAAGGGCTCAAATTGAATGGTGTGCACCAGGTACTTGCCTATGCTGATAATGTCAATTTGCTGGGGGATGCTGTGGGTACCATAACCAAGAATGCTGAAACTCTGCTACAGGCTAGCAAGGAAATAGGCCTAGAAGTAAATACATGGGCGTAACACGGGATCAACATCAGCAACAATGACAGAACATAATTATAAGTAACACATCATTTGAAAATGTTTCAAAATTTTAAGTACGAGAACTAGAATAACAAATATAAATGAGGTCCATGATGAAATCAAGAGTAGAATACATCCAGGGAATGCTTGTTTTTATTCAATTCAAAAACTATTATCATCCTGCTTACTATCAAAAACACTGAAGATCAGGTTATATAAAACAATAATTTTGCTGGTTGTCTTGTATGGTTGTGAAATATGGACTCTTACTTTGAAGGAAAAACGATTACAAGTGTTTCAAAAAAGGATCTCGAGAGGATATTTGGACCTAGGAGGAAGGGCGGGTTCTGCTACCAGGGAGTTAGTTATTTAGTTTGTATGGGGACATGCAATTCTGTAAAGAAACAAAAATGTGTGTTATGGACTTCTATATACACAACCTTACAAATGTTGTGGGTTACCTTTAAAATCATCTCCTATAGAGATAATACATTTTGAGTACGCATACTAATCATACCTTAAATGTAATACTTATTGCTGACGTAAAAATACTTTCAAACTTTAAACCTAATATCTTATATCCACAACTGACGCGTAGCCATTTCTAATCGGCAACTATCACAGATAACCTGTTACAAAGAACGTAAGCGGGCAGAAACAAATTTGGCAGATACGACAGTCTCGATTTTAAATACGATAAACAAATTTTAGAAGCGTCTGTGGAACACGTGTACATATGTGCCAGTAAAAGATATGAATGATTTTCAGGCGTTCAGTGAATTATTATTGTAACTTTTACTATTATACATACATTCGAAAGGGGTCTACAGAAAGAAATGGAAAGAACAATTTCCAATTAAGAATTGACGGAACAGAACTGTTATGCCTAAAATAAACTGTTTCTGAAAGCGAAGAAAGTGATCTTCAGTGCTCGTAACTAATTTTACACTTTCAGAATGCACACACTAGTTCCCACCATGTTGTTACGCGTTCATAATATTACTATAGACATGCCATGAACTATTTATTCATAATTCTCCACATGATATAAAAATCTTATGTGTCACAAATTAGAATTAGCACAGTGATGTTACTATTTACATTGCAATTCTATTAAAATTTAATCCAATAGCAATGGTAGCGGTATCGCAGTCGGAAATAAGGTTAAGCCAACCTATCAATTTCCTTCCTCCAGGTTAGACTTAATTCATGTCTGCCAGTCAAGAAATTTGCCATCTTTTGTATAAATCTTCATTGCCGTTTTCACAAGGGCCCACCACCAGTCCATATCCTGAGCCAGATGAATCCAATCCACATGCCCAAACCTGTTCCCTAAGATACTAGTTACACCTTGGTTTTCCAAGTGGTCTCTTCCCTTCAGGTTTCCCATGCAAAATCCTGTATGCATTTCTCTTATCCCCATACAATTTTCTCTGCTTTCTGTATCTTCATCCTTCTCAAGTCCAAATATACTCATAAACTCCGTTCTCAAACTTATTCGTAACAGTAACAAATAATTTTGAAAACTTCATACTCCAGATAAACATATTCCAGGTTTAGAATAGTAGTGTGTACATGTGTACTGGCCTTGCTCCATTTAACATTCTTAACCATTTGTAACAAAATCTAGAAAGAACTCTATTCAATATGAAATTAACCTCATCATAGTGGCATTTTCTCCATACCAGTTGTGATGGTTACACTGCTATGGCTAAGATGACAGAGCCTTGATTGTAATAGAAATGAGAAGGTGAAGCTTAGGATACATTTGGGGGGAGGGGAGAGAGCTTTGTCAATCATCAAAATTACAAAATTAAAAAACTGTAATATTTTAAAGCTGGATTCTGCTTTTATCTTCAGATAAAAGGGAGAAGAGGACAGAAAGCCTATCTGCTGGGCCCCTTGTTTGAACTAGGATTAGGATTAGTTTGATTACTAGGTTAGTTAACAATGCTTTTTGTACTATAGAGGTTATATATATTATCAAATGAGGTAATATGATTACGATCACCTGATATGGAAGGAAACAGTTGTGGCCTATTTCAAGGTACTATGCTGGCATTCATGTGGGTTGTTACATGGTTGATATGAAAACACAGACCCATGTGAGTGAAATGAAATCCCCTTTTTCTGTTGATATTCAGTGACATCATATGGACTCCTTTCCTCAAAGAGGTGTATAAATCCATTATAAAACTTTTGTAAAGGTATATTAATTTATTATTATATTCAGTTTTGTTGTCCACTTTATTACAAATATAATGTTTTTAATAATTTAAAGTTTGTTTTTGTCAAGAAATTTGAAAATGTTCTGCACAATGTATTGTGTATGAATACCAGCATTCTCCTTTCTAGAAGAAAGCTCTTACCAAAACTTGTATATGGATATATCACATTACAAGGTTCAAATTTCAATGTTTTATTTTGCTCAGTATGTTCTGCAAGGTTTCTTGCACTGATTCCTCAGTATTGCATGTGGCCTCTCTCTCTTTATGTCTTCTTATGTATGTATGTAACCTAGTAGTGCAACAACTAGAACATCAAATATTTCTATTGTCACTAAACAGCCAGTCAATATAGTATCAACATAACTTTACAATATAAATTCTACATTCAATAATGCGACTCTTGTTACTGAACTACATTGTGTGTCTTGTACTCTAAATATGTAAGTCATGTGCACACAGAATTCAAAACATAAAATAATACAAATAAAGAAAAGCGAGGCGCAATACATGGTTTATGAAGGATGTGTTGGTGTCTGTTTCCATTAACATGGTTTCACATTCAATTGTGAATTTTACATTGTTTCTAAAAGGCCCTCACTGAACCATGAAGTAACTGGAAATTTATGTTTCATATTCTGAGTGCACTCAGTAGACATTTCCCATAAAATTCAGATTTTCATAATTTGTCATCATATTAAATATTTATAAATCAACAATTATGTGAAAGTTACTTTTCTTTGGGAGAAGAAAGTTTGCTTTTATTGTTTCTCTTCTTTCACTCAAATATCATGAATTATACACTGAAAGAAATTTTACTGAAATTGTGTATGAAATGTACTTAATGCATAAATGAGTATAAATTGAAATATTTCTCTACAAAATATAACATTCATGGAGACAAACATACAGCTATTGTTTGTTATACGTCATAATATATTATCTCTTGTAAAATATTAAAATTTAGGTATCTTCTATTCAGTAAGATTGATACTGTTGGTACTCTGTGTTCTTAAACACATTTTAATAGTTTGCAGAAGTGTCTAAGATATGTTACTATTATGATACCATCCATAACTTCTTAATTACTTTATATCTACTCTCATGTTGGATCTGAAGTTCTCACAGCAGTGAGTATGAAGATGGCTATAGACACCCATCTTTAAACTCATGTTGTTGAAATTAACATGCTATCTGCATCTGTTCATATGGACCTAGATAACTTAAATGAGTTTGGAAATGTACATTACTGATCACTTCATTCTCTGCATTACACAGGCAGTGACTTTTAATCTTGTGCATTGAACTTGCAGTTTTCAATCTCTATAGTGTCACTATTAACTACAATATTACTGTGACTTTCTATTTGTTTTCTGTTAAATTCACTAATATTTTTGTTCAAGAATTTTAATTACTGTATCATGTTTCTAAACATATCTGTTCAGACTAAATTTTACATTGTATAACATGTAATACATTTCACTGACCTATATTTTAAAATGACAAAGTTTGGGGACATAAATTATATATTTAATAATATAGTTTAATTTTAGGCCTAGTTTTGGCAGTTTAAAATCAAAGTGTATTGCTGAAATAAAGCCATTAAACATTATTGTTCCTAATTCATGCGACCGTAAAAGAAAACAAAGCCATCTTTTTATATGAAATTCAAATTTTCTAATTTTGCATTTATATATCACAGAACAGGATATGAATTGTCTAAACAGAAGTTGCACATGGTTCAAAACAATATTTTTTTAATTATTTGCCTTTTTCTTATAGTCATAATTTGTATTCACTGTTGAGAATTTATCACAACAGAAGGTAACATCCAGATCATAGGAATGTTGGAATCTAACTCAGATAAAAAACAAAGTGACTCTTAGGGATGGAAATTATGAAATGTAATTGTAATACTGCCAATAATTCAAAGACTGTTTCATCTAAGAATCTGTATTATAATATTTGATTTACTTAATCTACTAAGTACTTTCAAGGATTTAAATTTCTATACACTAAATTGTATTCTATCACTCTTGATTCATTCAAAATTTACAAATGAGAGAGATTTCAGTTCATTCAAATACTAGCAAAATCACTGTTTAAATATGTTGAACATTATGGAAATAAAAAAGGATCACTAACATAATTCTTTTGCGAGCCATTCCATGATGTGAGCAAGATCTAAGATTTTGTAAGGATCCGAAGACTGTTATCTCCTTTGTAACTCCATAGATGAATGTAATGGACAACATGTTTTCAATGGTTCATACTTTAGACTTAATTTGAATTTATTATTAATATTGTATTCTGAAATTATGTTTTATGATTTAAAATGGCATTTTCCAGTATTTTAATGAGATGTTGAAAATATACTTGCTTTCAATTTAGCAGCTGACAACAATATGAAATCTTTAAGTAACCATCCATTGTTTGTACAAAAATGTTTGTCAATTCACTTCCTTCATCCTTTGTTTCTTAACTTCAACTTTCTTGTTTCCCTTAATAAACTATACTCATAAACCATGTGATGAACTAAGAACACTTGTGAAATCATACATACTGAATCATATGTGAACTCATATATTTGAACTATAAAGGATAAGACTGATGCTATTAGTATTACGTAAATCAGGGATGACAAATCTCATGCTGCTTGGTGTTAAAATTGTATCAAACATTATCTACTGATAAGAAGTAGTGCCAACCATCCTCACATCTCCATTACGTACATGGTGAACTTCAATGAGGTATCTTATGCTATCCACTTTCAGATGTCTTCATATTTTGTATTGTGTGTGATTGATCTGAGAGTGGCTACTCACTCTGTGAAAAAGTTTTCAATTTGATTTTACGTGTTCCTTGGATGCAAATAGTAATGACATCATCATATTTTTTGTAACCATCTTTCTCTAGGGAAACTACTTTTTTGGGGTGAATATACAAAGTAACAGAAAAAGTGTATCTTGAGTAAAAGAAAGTATAGCTTCATGAACCACTGAAGTTATCAGGTGGTTCCAGATAATACTGACAATACCTATAATGACTGATGCCAGATAATGCTCATCCAGTGTCAGTGGCTCACCATCCCTGATCTAAATGAAGAAGTACATCCATTTCTAGCTGTGTAGATACAAGATACATAAAATAAGAGAGAGAGAGAGAGAGAGGTAAATTTTCAGTCTATTTTCAAGATGGTGGCAGTGCCCATCACAAAGCTGATTTTGAAACACCTGAATCATCACTGTTCAAGAAATAATATTGTTAAAAACAAATTGTGGTAAAACAAAAGGTGCAATACATGTCACTGTTAATTACGTCTGTTCTGTATACCTTAGGTCTGCACATTCACGAAAACAACAGCATTAAACAACAAATAAAGAAAACAAATCAAAAACTAATTTCACAGGCTCATTCATACTTCCAGGACACACAAATATACAAACACTTCCTTTGGGACGAATTGTGTTCTTTCAGCAGAGTATTAAAGGTCAGACACAGTTCAACAACTTGAGTATGTTGTTAAAATTGAAGACTAGCTTTTTTATATTCCAACAATACAACAGTTATTTATGAACACTAATTGCAAGGTATTTTCCTCACATAATCAACACAATGCATTGTAAATCATCAATTGTGAATGGGCTTATTTTATGAATTATATACATCATCTGTCCCATATCATTTCACACATGTTTAAATTGTCTGTTTTACATTGAGTGTAACAACATAGTACTGAATAAACCATTTAGTTCAGTTCAAAACTGTTATCTCCATGAACTGATGTACAGATCCTATCCTTAGTGTTCAGATAGAAAAGCTATCAATGTAAATATTAGCAAGACATACCAATATCATTAGAACAGATGTTATCTCAGTACAACACATAAAATACATACTCATATATCAACCACAAAAACTGGCACAGTTTTATGTATAAAGAATAATTTAATGATACATCACGTTTTAAAATACTTCGAAATGCAATGTCCTATTTATATTCTACATTATGTCACTACGAGGCATCCATGAATTTGTTTCTACAAAAATGTTACTCATTGCTGAGTTTCAGAAGTTTGTTGCTGTGGTTCTGATTGCAACGTGTGTAGCGTACATTAAAATAATGCTTAATACAGATACTATGATATTCTTTTGAATCCCTTGTTACTTCTACTTGCAGCACCAACTGTGTGAGCTGCAGTGATTCTTTCTTGCTTGTGGAATCATGAACGCTCTACCGTGTTTCGTAATTGATGTCACCACACAAGTTTACATGTATCTTGGAAAAGTAAAACTGATTTCTAGATTTGGTTTCCAGTAATATACAAAGGTAATAATAAATTACTGCACGACATTAAATCTTTATCAACACTAGAACAGAGAAGTAAACACTGGTGTTCTGACAACATTTTGCTTCTTGTTTATCTACGCTATAATGTTCTACTAACATCAAATTTCTGAATCTGTTAATATTTCTATCAGCTATATAAATTAAGGTGCATGAAACTTCTGCTCATAATATTTGTTTAAATTTGAACAATATGGTTTCAAGAAGACAATATGGAGATAATTTCTGGAATAGCTAAATGGGGGGGGAACCTACAACATGAACTAATCTATGCAATAGATGACTTTCCTACCCTGTAACCCTTCAACTAATTTCGCATCTATACTAACAGGTCTTGAAGAATGAGCATCAAAGAATTGTTGAATATACACATGCATTTGACGAGCTATCGGAAGTATGTATTTGTTTCGTACCAAGAATAACTAGGTTCCTTTAGTGAACATGTATTTAAAGTTTTGACTGGGATCATTACAATTTTAAATTTCCTCGATTAAATTTCATCTGAACTGTAGAGGTAAGCCGACTGTTTTCTGTGAATTATTGGCTAATAACACATATTTGTAAAGATGAATGTCTTTGTCTAATTGAAATGACCTCAATAAATATTCCATGTTATTCCAACTCAAAATTTGGGGCAATTAAGTATGTATATTTGGATAAAACCCATTTTATTAACATCTTCCCACATACACACAAGTCTCGAAATGAAAACATAAACTTAGCTTAAATAACAAATATGAGTATTTTATCAGATCTGAACATGTAGGAAGGATAAGGAAGATATGGAAAGGCAAAACATGTCATAAACTTTCTGTATTAATTGCAAGAAATTAAAATGAAGGCAGTGCTCAGAAGAATCCTCAGTCCAGACACTGTGACCTTACTCTATCACATCTTGGCTGCATTTCTGACCCTTGTTACTGTTTGAACTACTCGTGGAATGTCTTCGACACAAACTGTCGTCTGAGGATTGTTGCTGTTCCTGCTGGCTGTAGGTTTCCTGCAATTTAGCGGACTGATCTTCTAAGCTCCTCTTGAGGCCCTCAATGGTATGGACCAGCATTTGACGCCGGAACAGAGACAGCTGACGCTGACACTGTGCTTTATCATCCAACCGCTGCCGTTCTTCTTCCTGAGCTTCTCGAACCTTGGCCTCCACTTCCAAGCGTTCTCGCCGTAACCTCTCCAGTTTCTCTCTGAGACTGTCTCCTTCAGACGCACCTAAAATTCAGATTGACACCAACATTTCCCGCTCTCAATATGACAAATTTAGCTGAAAACTAAACACCAGACTAAGATGTACCTGATTCATTCTTCAGTTACTTTAATGACGTTTTATCAACTGACTGATTTTCTCTCTCATTTTACTATTCTTGGATAACAGTTATTCTTTGCCATTTGCATAATACTTTTTATTTATTTTATTACATCTTGAATATTTTCTGGCAAAAATGTATTTTTATCAAGTACAGACTGATCAAAAAGTCACACAACTTATAATAAAATATTTAATAATGGTTAAAATTAAATAGAATTAGACTGGATTAATAAAGACAACACTGTTGTGACTAAACCTGATTTAAGAATGCCTAAACAAAAATCCATTTAATTCTACAATAAAGAGATAATGACTAGCTGCTGTCATGACTGTTTTAAAGTGACTGCCATTTCACTTTTCAATAAAGACTCTTAAGTCATGCAAAAGTGATGGAAGTAAAGCTCACTGATATCGCCATGGCATCTGTAACAGACAGGCGATATGATATACACGTTTTTAGTTTAACAAAGCATGACGGAGGCAGCATGACCTCTGAAACGTCGGTAAACATCTACCATACTACACGGCGCAACAACCCAGAAGACAGAAATATTACATACGAGTAAGAATGTTAGAAACCCAATATGAACAGAAACATGGGAATTTGTTTCCAGTGCAGAATATGTTTAAGGTAAAATCCTTCATTCTTAGATGAAAAAGGACATTTTTAAGATTGGTTCAATTACGCACTCAAGTTTCTGCCAAAACTTGGTACTCAAACCAACATCACAGACATAACCAACGGACAATAAATTCATCAGTTCTGAATCTTGTGTAGCGTTAGAGGTTAAATCCTCGAAATTAACGGTGGTGATTAACTGCAATACTGAGCCTAGTAGTCTCATTTACGCTTAAAATGTACATTTACATCTGACATCGTAATTAAACACGAGATTTATGTATAGGGATGAGTACACAATCGCCTTTGCATCCAACATTATAATCATAGCTTATGGACCTAATTAATCTGTGAAATAATAATGAGCAAATAATCACATTCTGTAACAGGGAAACAGTTTAAAATCCATACCACTTCGTTTAATTAACTGCATCAATTTGAAAGCCTACAGTATTCTTATACTGGGTAGATATCTGACAAACACTTCCAAGTAATTTATTTAGTACTAATTGTGATTACATTATGTGAGCTGATCCTAAAAACACGCAGTCTCCCAGTGTGCAGATCGGTACAGTTATGACGCTCTAGATTTGTATTCAAACGGTACCTCGTTCGAGTCTCAGATGGCTTAACGAATATCCTAACGGTGTTTTGATGGTTAGGTAAATGTGTCAGTAACTTCAGTAAGATGCATACTAAATCAACCACGACTGCTTCCTTCCAAACCCTTAACTAATAACAATTCATCACAATCTTCCCATCTAATATGATAATATTTTACTACCGCAGTTGAAACAGCTTCATTAATAGTCGAAGATTAACGCTCGCCGTGCCGATACGGCAACTTCTTCTGCGTTTGAGAAACGCGTGCAGTCTACCGTCAGGGGGTATGTTGTTTTTGTTATCACAGATTGCGCTAAAAGTGAACAAAAAGTCAAAAGTATGGCTGTAGGTGTCGCTCTTTCTCAGTCTTAGGGGTGGGTGGTCAGCGTGAAGCCAGACCACGCTTTACCCCCGGGAAAGGACCACGGTAACCATTGGACAGGAGGCTGGGTGGGCTCCAGAGCCTATCTGGACGCAGAGACTAGAAGAAAAATCCTGTCGGGAATCGAACTCCGGTCGTCCAGTCCGTGGTAAATCACCATACTAAGATAATTCGGTTCTAATGAACCCAAACTGGAGAAATAATATTTGTTCCTTTGCGCGTTCCGTGCATCAAACGACAGAACGAATTTAAATTTAATATGGCACTGGCAATGGGTTGGATCAATTTAATATTGTTCTTTATCAGTCTACTTATCTTTCCATTTCACAAGAAACTCAAACATAACTTTAATCAGCATAAAATAAATTACAAGCTAACCAGATACAGCATTTAGTAAAACGAAGTTCTGTTTCGATGCAGCGGTAATAGTTAGTTTTCTTAAAATCTCATCATGGCATACGACTGACATTTGTAAATAAAGGACTAACAACACGCAATAATTTACCGGCACTTTGGTAATACAATAACCAGGAGGGCCTATATATTGAAACTGCGTAACATATTGGCGTCTACCAATGAAAAACACCTTATATTATCGAATATTCGCGTTTAAACATTTAAAATAATAATAATCGGATAATAATAACAAACCTTTCGCCTAATACTCTCGCATGGCACAAAAAAACTTCACTCACATTTCTACATTTAATCGGTGAATATAAGAAAATAAGAGGAACGAGGAACATAAAAGAGAATCTTACCTTTATCACTGTCCTTACTTTCCATTTCTGCTTTGATGCGAAGTGACGCCTGATGTTGACTCTTCTCCAGAGACTTCTGGAGACGGTCAAAGGTAGCACTGCATGTATACACCTTCCTCTTGACGGGTTCGCTCTGGGGACAGTACCCAGCACCGCCGAACTCATGCCCTAAGTCAATAGATCTGAAGGTGACCAGTGGAGGACGCTGGTGAATGGGAGACTTCTTCGGAGACCGCTTAGGGGTGACTGAGCCATCTGTATCAGTCGAAGACGAGCTTGAGGCGTGGACCAAACCTTCTGGAGCGTTGCTTCGTCCTCTCCTTCCAAACTCTCGCGGTATCGTCCCCTCATTACACGTACGAGAAGGAGAGGTACTTCGATTTCTCACTCTACCCCTATTTTCACCGACAATCCGTTTTGGGTAATTAGATGCAGTGTTAATCACTTCTCGTTTTATGGCTATGTTATTTTCATTATCACCAGACTCTCCTGGAACATTTTGTTCGTCAGTTTCTGTAATTTTATTTACATTCTCGTTTATGGAATTATCAATTCGTCCCTTACACGTACGCACTGGTGGTGTTGGTACATACAAATTCATACATTTTTCAGAATTGCTCTTTATACTAACCAAAATATGCTCTGCTTCCAAAATAAGTTCTTTGTATTTACGATCGGCTTCTCTGTCAGCCTCTATCAGAGCCAACTCTGAAGAGAATGTCGTTAAATATGTAGAAGTTGGTATTGACCTCTGAAATTCATCACTTCTGGCGCCACAGCTAATGGAATTAGAGCGTTTCTTCATCAAGGTGTCCGCCATATTGGGAGACATTTGTAAGTCACTATTGTTACCGCTCTTATTTGCAGCTAAACGAATTCTGTTAGCCTCAACATAAGGCCTGATTCTCGAGGGTGACAGAATATTCTTCCTGGTTTCTGCAGCGTCGTCATTAACAATTTTCTTTCTTAAGGAAACAGGTGTGTTCCCAGCACTTTTAGTTCCGTTCCCATTAACCCGAAACAGCATTTTTTGCATTAATATACGATTTAAATTATATACACCTGAATTTTCAGCTTCAACAATACTAATTTTCTCCTTAGAGCTGAAAGTGACTCCGTTGTTATTCGTAGCCAGAGGAACGGCTTCACTCGTCGCACCTCTAATGCTGCAATTTCTACGCATTGAACAGCGCAATTTCCTTTTCTCGCTGGAAGATCTCAAACACGCACTGCCGGCCACTGCGCTCGTCGGCCCAGTCATCGGCTCGTGATGTCTTCTGAGTCTACTGCCATCTCTCGAACTTCTTCTGTTTAGTCCTTCCTCGTTGTTAAACTTCCTTACACTAGCTCTTCTGAAGGAAGGTCCTGGACTTCCGCTCGTGTTTTCGTCTTTGACATGGCGGCGAGCGCTTGAACGCCTCATAAATGATTCACGAAATCGCATGGTTGGTTTCCGTATAAACTCCACTCCGGAATGCGGCATGTGATAAGTGCAATGTCCTTTATTAACAAGTCCTTTCGCAGAACTTGAAGATTTGTCTGCATCCTCATCTAAATCTAAAGGATTTAGTTCTAAATAAGAGCCGTTATCGATGAAGTCCAACTCCTCGTCGTCGTGGGGATCTCTTTCATCACCACCGTCTTGCCCCGTATCGAAGTCCGTTTCGCCATAATCTTCTTCACAGTCTGTTGGATCACTGTCACTTAAAATGTCCGTTTCTTTTTCGTACACGTAACTTTCGTCGTATTTCCCCAACATTTCATTTAAGGTCAGGTCATCATCGGAGAGGTCACTGGTGTTGTTAGTGGCCGTGTGTGAACTTGATGACGAAGAGGTCGAGCAAACGCTTCCACGATGATGTTTGCTCGACGAATCGCCACCACCCGATACATTGCTGTCGCCAGGGGGTGTATGACACCATCCGCGGTGGCGCCTAACGGAGAAAGCGTTAAATTAGCTGTTTGTTTTAGCGTTAAAATATGCAACCCAATGAGATCATCTGCCTGATTGAGTAATTAAATGACTGACTAGCTTTCAGCAACCAACTAACTGGCCAATTTATTGTGTGACTGACTACCCAACTAAATGATTTATCCGTGATATCGATTCTTCCTTAAGCAAGATGTGACAGCTATCCATAGCAAGCCAGTTAATTTACGTTAACATCTTCAGAAGTAGGCTCACTTCTTTAAAACACATTTTAATATTATTTTTCCATTTACGCCGAAGTCTCCCAAGATGTAATTTATTCCAACAAAAACTTTTGTGTTCTTTCTTGTTTCTTCGTGTTTTTATACATCTCTCTCCCCTTTTCATTCGTTCCGATTTTGGCAGCATGTTTGTTAGGAATTAAATCCTCCGTAACATTTCGCTAATAATCCTCAGACGATGGTTTAAATTGAATTACTAGAATGTAAAACATTTACTAAACCATTTACATCAAAGACGTATATATATACCATAAATTTTAATATTCACTACCTCTAAATTTTGCCAACTGAATTTATTTTTGGTTTTTTTGTGGTTTTCAGAATTATCAATGATCATTTCCATGAACATTACTGGTCTTTAAAATAAGGAGGCATTTTAATATTTTCTCTCGGGTGAGAACTGAACTTCGGGTTACAAAATTTTATTATTAGAAATACGGTTCGTGTTAAAGCCGAAAGAAAAAGATAATTATTTGCCCATTACCAGGTACATAAGTGGAGTTATTCTTATTTTAGATTCTACGGATCAGGGCGTATGTCCCACTGCAATTTATAATAATTTAAATATTTGGAGCGACTCTTTGTACAAGGGAATTAACGAAGTAAGAGGAATACATGATGAACAAGAAAGAAAGAGTAACTTTCACTGTTGGATGGACAGAATAAATGTTAAGGAGGAGAAAGTCTGCTACTTACGGACTCCTGACATTCTCCTCTGAAGTACGTTCATCCTCTTTGGGCATAATTCGTGGCTGCGTCGGTTGCTTCCTGGGTAACGTTACGTCACTTCCGCTTCCATAGGAAGAGGAGGACTCTCCTGGTCTCGCCAGAGCACGTTTACACTCTGCGCCGGACGAACAGGAGCTCATGTTGGTGGACGATTCGGCCATTCCAGGCTGCACCGCCCTCGGTGTAAACCCGCAGGTATTGTTACTGCTGGTAGTCGAACTGTTTGTGCCGATCGCTGAGGAATTTGAAGGCGTGCTGGACGGAACCCAAGGATTGGTTCTGATGCGGTTCCGCTGACGGGGAGAAGCTGTTAGTTGGGCCACACTTTGAGGGCAGAGGGAGGAGCTGGTTGCGTTGCTGCGGACGCGACTGACGTCAAGGGAAGTCTCAAGCCCTGTTGATGGCGGAGGTGCGTCGTCTAGTTGAGCAAAGCTTGTCCTGATTGATGCTGAAAACCGGCGACTGTCATCGCACGATTCAGTCCTCCTGTGGCTATGGCGGTGTGACCTGGAGGACTCGGGGGCTGGCAGGGCCTGTACAGGAACAGGGACACAGATCAGCTGACGTTACGACGTCTTACTTACTTTCTTAACGAGAAAGAGCGGGCGCACGACGCCTGTCTGCGATGGTTCGTAAACCCAGTGGCACGAGCTACACGGAAGGGCCAAACCAGGAAGTTTGACAGCTATTTACATGGCTCTCACTTTATAGGTACAGTTATTATACCGGCAACTCAGCGAATCTTAATGCAAATACTGCATAAGAAATTACACGTATATTTAAAGACTCCATAAAATGTTTATTCAAGACGTTTTCGTCTCAAGTAAATAAATAATTATCAAGACAAATACAAACATGAACTTACATCTTAAACGAGTAAAAGTTATGTATCAAGTTTCATCAAGACTAAAACATCGCAAAAGTTCAACCCTGGCTATTAAGTGAGGAGGGGCCTTCAAACGAACGAAGCTAAATCAACATTCAGCAAACTGAGCTTCACTGTGACATGTAGGCTTCGGGCGCTGTTACTTGTGAGCAGGAAAATGATCGGAAATAACTAAAACTGTGGCCTTCGAATGATACAGTTTTACGAAATGCATATGAATGTTGAAACATAGAAACACTGTGAGGGTTCATATGTTAATAATTAAACTTAGACTACAGGATATTCAATGAAGTTATCCACCTTAGGCGTGGACCAGTAGCGAATTATAGTCTAGAAGTCAGGTCGTGCGCGAATGCAACATTATTAAATACCCCGTACATTCGTATCACAATCCTAAGGTACTTTAACAACATTTATAATTGTATGTGGCTGTTTACAAAATATATTTTATATTCCTCCAGTTTTAGTGGTCTGACAGTACACTAGTCAGCATGCTCAAAACGCCTCCCTTAAACAAGGACTCTGAATCGCCAGGCCAACCACAAGACCTCTATTGGAACACAGGATCTTCATCGAAGACTATTAGAATCTCCAATATAACCTCTTATTTACCTTAGGTGTGGATGTATGCTTAAATCGACGCCCTTCGAACGCTTCCCCAGCGCTCAGAATCTCCACCTCGACCACGCAGCCGTTCCTCAGGTCTCTAGAGACCTCCTCTCTGACGTGGCCGTTAGCCAGGTGTCTGTAGGCCGGAACGGCCACGGGGTTGCAGGGGGCTGTCGGAGTAGTCGCTGCAGAGTGGAAATAGTGCGTGCCGGTCCGGATGTTGATGTAGTACTCCGGCGGGAGCGAAGCCCCTGGCGAGGTACCGTCGGTCGAGTAGCCGGTGGAATATGCCGACTCCGGTGACGATAAGTTGTTGCCCATGTAGCCGTGATGGAGGAGGTGATGGTGGTGATGGGGCGGCAAGGCGATCGTCTCCATTGCGTTTCCGCACGAAGAAGATCCACTGGCAGGGCAGTGATGGGTGTCAGGGTACGTGAGTCCGCAGCGTAACACCTGGCAAAATATAAGGCAAAGTTCTACCTGTGCCTAAATACCACAACCTTCAAGCACAGATGTGATGTGAAGTGAAATCTCTACGTATTCTAGTATAGCCTACAACACTAAAGGAAACAGTTGCCGCAAAGTTTTTCTAAACTTTTGTAAAATGTGTGTATTATTATGACATTTTGTTCGAACGTTATTTCAGACAATAGATAATGTCAAAACAAAATGCCCCAACGCCTAAAACAGTGTGTATGAACGAGGTAGTGAGAAGGCCACCGAAATCACGTCAAGTCGTCCAGCCAGTAGCCAGACTCAGGCTGAGAACAAGAAGAGAGCGAAATATCTGTGACAGATAAATTTACTCAATTTACGAATTTTCTTGATTTTTTTTTTTTTTTTTTTTTTTATAGAACTGTACTCCAGAAGGAGTAAACACTTTCCTGACACGTTCTTGGCTATCTAGCGTTCAACTGAAGATACAAATCTGCTGTTGCAAAGATATTCGCACTACAAAGTCAGATATTTTTTCTTGCATATGCCTCCTGTTATAAATTTCCACTACAATGAAAGCGCGACAAGCATTACTCACAATCCCTTCCGTCCTCGCAACAGCTAGTAGTCGTCTCCGAGAGTTTCATAAAAAAGGAAAGTACCCTTACTCGGAGACCAGTCGAGTGCCTGGGTCAGAGATGAAGCCTTTAACTTAGGGCCGAGGTTATGATAAGCTGCTGGTGAAATGATAATTACCAGGGGAAAATACAAGAACCAGGAGAAAAACCTGCTTCAGTCGAAGTAACCCGGGAATGAACCCGGATCTTCTCGGAGAGAAGCCAGCATTTATCTAAAAAAGTCATCTCCTCTTAGTCGCACAATAACAAATGAATGTATCTCGTCGGAATGTACTTCTTGTCCCTTTAAAGTTATAAATTTCAGAAACGGGAATAATGCGCGGAATATTACACAATATAAGAAGTTTTATAAGAAAAAATGCCTAGGAATATGTCCACATGCGGTTGCCCATTGTTTTTGTATCAAGGCATGGATTACACATTTATTCTCTCCCAGTATATTATTATACCTATAAGTTATTTACACAGAAGAACAATAAATGTATGCATGATATAGGAATAAGTTCCTGTCCTGTCTCGTGTTACAACTATCGATTTCACCTGATACCGGGTGTCTACTAAAACTAAGGCGAATCTAATTTTTGTTTCATCGGAAGAAATCAACTCCAACTTCACAAATATTTCAAATCAACCTGTGTAGATTTTCATATAAACGAATCAACGCACATAAGCATTGTAATTTTTACAATACCAGTCAGAGGTACAGCGTAAAGTATCGATACAACAGTCAAGGGTGCTACATTCTCTTCTACACCGGCGCTTTGTTACTCTGTGACTTTCATCGCCGTTGAATACACTGTCAGGACATGGGTCTGCGCACTGTCACTTCCTGCACAGACTAAGCGACAGGGCGGGTAATCTCAGCCTTCATACCAATCACTTAACCTAAATTTATGTTACGATCTGAGAAAAGAGACTGGGGCTAATCCCATTTGACCGTGTTCCCAGCTTTAGAGAGCTTTAAATTTTGGATTAGTTGAGGATTCGACCGAAAGAGCTGTCCATTGCTCAGCGGACCAAATGATCTCCGTGGGAGTCTTAGGACCTCTACTACTCTTGTAGTCATGTACTTCGCTGAGCTGTAGACTTCTGAGAATACGAGTAAGATAGAACTCCAGCTGTCCCCAAAACAAGCCCATGGTCTCCAGTTCTGAGACCGTCCCTCCAACATGTAATATAGTACTGTAAAAGTAAAGTTTGTCCCACTATACGCCATGTAGGCGCTTGGGGGGAGTGAAGGTATAGCTCCTCTCTTCCTTGACCTCGGCACTAGATGGGGGTGAGTGGTCAGCATCACGCCCCGATTATCGTACTGTAGGCTTTTGAAATGAGAGTTGTTCTTAATTCTAAATGCAGAGGTTAAACATGGCGAGGGAATTGAAATTAACGAATGAAAGAAAAAATAAGCAATCAAACAAATACAAGAAAAGGAACAAAGAGAAACAAATGATGGAAGAAAGCAGGAAAAACAATTTAGAAAATACACATAATTTTAATGCGTTTTCCAGAATCTTGCCTTTATCTTTTGTAAATGGAACCAGTGATAAATAAACTATGCGTAACTAGAGGATGTCGTCATCATGGAGGATTCCCACACGTGGTCTTCATGCAGGTCTTCACGTTAACTTATCGTCTTTATTGTCAGAGTTCAACCAAAATTGAAATGAGTCGACAAATTTTAGTAAAACTAGCCATTTTTAATTCATTATTCTTGGTTTGGTCTTTAAAGGGATAAAAAGAATACATATTATCACCTGAAGACGGGGGCACAGCCAGCCCCTGAAATGAAACGACAGATTTATTTAAAAAAAAAAACAATACTGAATGGTACACCACCGGCAAAACCTTTAGTTATCAGAGAGGGGAAAAAGAACGCTAGAAGGAGATTAAGAAAAAATAACTGCAGAAGAAAGAGACGTCGATACGGAAGTGACGTTTGACAGAAGGAAGGACGATAAGCCGCCTCCTGTCACGTGTCAAGATCAGTCTCAGATTCACTCCACTTGACATGACCCGCACTTGGAGTCCCTGCTGATTGACAGGTCTTTCGGCCTTCCTTCAGGACCTGAATTTAACACACCCTGCACTTCCATAAAGCCACATCGAATTAACTTACGTGCTGGTTTTTCTGAGGCTCATCTTTTTTAGCTGTAAGGGGGCTCGTAGGGGAATTCCCCGCGGAGTCCAACAAAGGTCTTTCCGGTACGACTTTGCTGCTCTGCTTCCCTTTGCTGCCACTTGCCTCTTTGCAGCGCTGCTGTTGTTGTTTCTTCCTCGGTCGCACGATGTGCGTTTCCATCCACGACCGAAATTTAATCCCAAACATTAGGCTTTGTTAGATTTATAGTTACGTCTATGCTTCAGATTTTGAAGTCAAAATCAATATGGCGCCTGCATATAAATTCACGTTTCGTCTGCTGATTTTATTCCACGCCATTCAACAAGAAAAAATGGCGTCATTGTGGTTGTCATGTATCTTCTTATTTTGACCCAAATGTATTTCTCTTGACATCCAAACGATTTATTTGTTATACATCCTGAAAGAAAAGAGATGGGAATGATTACATAATGAGAAGCTTCATAATCGTAAACAAATGTTCACCTAACAATGTTAGAAACTTAGCGTAAGCGAAGGGCTAATGTTAAAATTAATCTTACAAAAAACACATGAGCGTATGGGCTGGATTCAACTCGTGACTGGTTACAGCAAAATATTTGGGGGTTTTATAAACACAGCGATGATGATTTGTTGATCTGCTAGCTAACTATAAGCTTTTCAAATTAGACTCTCTACTATAGAAGTAGTTTATAATTTATATTTTAGTGACTGACAAAATACTCTCAAAGCGCAAATTCTACGTAAGTATTCAACAATAAACATCGAAGCATCTCTAAAAAGAATATCAAGTTACAAAGAGATGATTATTTCTTGGGATGCTGCACCGTCCAGGGCGACCGCCGTGATGATGGAGGCAATTTTACCAAACTAGAAGGTGCAACATCCCTTAGAATACAGCTAGAAGTTAGAAATAGCACGTTCTATGTTACTATTTCATAAATTTAATTCTATATCTGTGGTTTTGTCATTGAGTGAAGGAAGTCAGATACATTCCAGATCCAATTTCTTAATACCTTCGTGACATTTAGGAAAGAGCAGGAAATTTCAGTAGAAGGATTTTGACGTCATCTTATAGGACCAGTCTCATTTGTCTGTCTGTGCACATAACCCATGCCGTAACACCCGCGTATCAGCTCCATTCGGATTTTCCAATCTCGAAATGTCAACACCAATAATCACTTTCCTTGCCTCTTCACCAATCCACACTTCGCCGTCCCTCTCACGAGGGGTTAAAGCGTTCGTGTAAGCTTTCTATTTCTAACCTACAAGGACATTTTGTGGTCTTTAGATCCCATGAGGAAACGGAAGTTGGTACTCGTAAGGGCCGGGGGTTAGAGATGAACTACTAATCCCCATTCCACTCACTCTGAAATATGATTTGTCGTATACTCTCAAATGTTATTCTTCATTTCAGATGACTGATGAAGTACAACATAAATGACAGGGACCTGTCTTCGTAATATTTATAATTTATTCTCAATAATTGGATAAAATCATGGTTTTATCCACAAAACAACTTAACAACTTTCAATAACATATTTTATACGCTAAAAACTAAAACATGGTATCGGCGCGATACTTTGGGGTTTGTGGTAAAACTCGTTCTTCCACAACTGGCACAGCTTGTTCTCTAGGAAGATCTGATGGCGTTTAGTCGCCGTGAAATTTTCAACTCTTGCCAAATAATTTAATGGTTCCCACTGGCCTTAACTGTAGTATGAAGCATAAGAATCAAAGCATCAGACGCTATACGATCTTTTCGGAGTAATTATAATGCTTGTCTATGAACCCACAGGTAAAATCGAAAGATCATGGTAGTTACTCATGAACATTACAGATTCAGAGACATTAATATTCCATTTACTTTTTCAAAATTGAATTAGCGGGCCAGATGGTGTAAAATGTCTTTCCCCCTTATACTAGAAATACACTTGAGAATTTCAATTCACTTTTAAGAGCCGCTTTCCTCGTCTTGGTTAAGAGTTAAGTTCAGATTCTGGCTCTGACAGTTCTGCCGGCTTTGAAGATAAGGAGTGGCAGGATAATCACATTTTACAAACCCTGAAAATACGCCAGACTTTCAAGTAAGTTACAAGCATCTGTAGTATCTATCGAGCTGACTTTGAAAATTACTAAACTCGGTTAAATATCTGATTATAATAAGCGCATCTTCACATTCTTAGCTGAGCGACGGAAAAAATGTAACTACTCTAATTACAACTTCAGTATCCTTATGTCGTGGCCTGCAAAAATATTCAGACATGAACCGAGCCAAAGGAGATGCAGAAGAGCGTTCCTTAGCCTAACGCCCAAGCACCACGCCAGGCAAATACACACAGGTGTAAAGTTAAAGCTTTACGCATTCTAATATGAGACAAGTGAGTGGTCGGCTTCATTCTCCGGCTGCTTTAAACCAATGGAACGAGACGCCTGTATCAATTTAAGAGGAGGTTACGTGGACCTCGAATGCGGATGAAGATCTCACAGCGTCGGGACCTCGAATGCGGATGAAGATCTCACGGCAGAGAAGGTATCGATCATGATCTGCAGACGAAGGCAACAGGTTTCTGCAAAATGTTAATGACCACCTAGAAGATCTCACAGCGTCACAACGTAGAATATCGTGATGGATGAAATATCTTGTACCAATCGGAAATAGAAGGACTTTATTGACTGAGTCAAGTGAGACGCAAATTACATCCAAATTTGTAAGTCCGTTACAGACACGATGCATTTGACGGCGCTGTTTACGTGGCAATTACTTTAATCACAATAAACCCCAAAAACTATCTTATTAAAACTCTTATGTATAAGATTTGGGGTTCTTAAGGTGGTGGAAATTTCGTCTGGCATGTGATTAGCAACGGTTCGGAGAAACAACGCCTCTATTTTCAGAGTAGACCAATCTTCTCTGTGGATAAAGACGATATGTTCCTGCCAAACTTCAGCAACCACCTACAAGATCCATATGACCACTTTAGAGGGCATGTCCATTATAACCCACTATTATAAATCCACAATTGTATTAGGTAAACAAGCAAACCTCGAATTGTATGTCGCAATAATACAAAACCGACATTCTGACGTGCCAACGCATGTATATGCACGCCGGCTTCAAACTATATGTACACACACAATATCAGTACAGTGTGAATATGACAGCGCCTGTTTGTTCAGCAACATCTTTAACATGTTTGCGAGGCGGGTAGCATAACTGGTCTGTGCAGGCGTCTTTATTTACAAGAGCAGAGCTTAGGTGTGACAAGGGTCATAATATAAATGGGAAATTGAAAAGGCTACTCTAAAACCATTCTTCGACGTCATTAACTATTTAAAGCCCAGAGGGAACTGTATGTCCCACCTGCTTCAACAAACAATAATTCATTCTGTATAAACGGGTTTCGTATGATTATCACCGTAAACTAGCAATTATTTCCTTCAACAGCACTGAATTATAATGGTGAAGAGTTGTGTTTTCTTTGTGGTATGGACTGAATTCTTAAATATTGTTTAGATTAGCTTCAACTTCAAAGGAGTTAACACAAACATGAGAATTTTGCAACACTTTGTTAAAGCTCAAAAGCGCAATAATGAATAAATGATGCAAATAGTAATATATCGAACACAATATTACATTAACTTTTAAAGTACCAAAAGTTGAAATGCACAATGCCATAAATTTTTTGTACACTAAATCTAAAAGGTCCATTTAGCAGATCTGTGCACTGCGTGGTAAAGAACGCCGTCCCCTTTCGTTACGTTAATTTCAGAGGACGTATTGCAGTATGTGTGGTTCATGTAAGCTGATGCTACTGGTTCCAATGCGATCAATACAGTTCCTAATGCTACGTCTTTCCCCACAATAATACCATACAAAACTACCATTCGTCTGGTACATGATGAAAGGCAGTGAGTCCCCCCTCCCCCCCCCTTATTTCAAGTTCAAATGAAATGTTCTTTCGTTTTGGAAGACTGTGGAAGAGTGGAAACATTTCCTCCACAAATTCGACGTCACGTATTTTTCGAATATACAAGTAGTTTCTGGCATCGATGCATTTTATTGTTTACATCATAGCTTCCTAAGAAATGTGTCTTTAAAAGTAGTTAAGACGTGAAAATTTATGTGACAATGAAATGTAAAAACATAATTAACAGTAAATTCGGTATTTTTCTTTAAATTCAGTTACTTTTGCTTTCGTAATTTCAAGCTTAAACGCTTCGCCAAGATTTCTTCTTCCCATTCAAGGATTGAGCCCCCTGACCTGTTCCGAGACTAAAGGAACTGTTGTCTCCATCTCCATGTTGGAAGCCCAATGTCCCGTCTTCCAACAGGATGAAAGAAGTATGTTTGCCAAAGCAGGCGATCAGGAGGCACCCTCTCTACATGATTATGTCATTTCTTTTGGCATTCTCGTATTTCTTCTGTGTTTGTTACATTACATCTCCACTTCTTATTTTATACGTTAATAAAACCCCCAACACGAATTTCTAAAGTCTTATTTCCGATGTTTCTGTTCCCCCTTTGTCTTCGTCTCTTAATACCCACGTTTCGCTCCCATTCTACAGGCAAATTTCGAAATTATGTTATGCAATCATTGTTTTATTTATTTCCTGATGTTATTTCCGAAGTATATTTTAATGCCAAGATTTCGTTTATTAAAAATATATTTCTTGTAGATTTTACTCTGATATTCCAATAACAATAATTATATAATTTTTCGAATAATAATAACAATAAATAACAAGCCCTGCAGTCTGTAAGAACTAGGATCTCACCGAGACGTAATTTCATGCCGGTTCAGAAGCCATCCCGTCACCCTTTTGCATACTAGCTACGAATTATTCCAGACGAGAGAACAAGAAAGGATAAAGCAGACGTAGGGAAGAAATATAGGGAACAGAACAGACAGACAAAAGAATAAGACGACAAATTTCTGCTGCGCAAGTCTGAAATGAATTCTATCATAAAGAGATAAACTTTCTGTTCACGATTTTGAAGCAGGGATATGAGAGTCATTACATTATTACTGCCATAATGTCGAATATATATTTCTGTGCACAGCTTCTGCTGCTTCATATAAATTATGAAGGTAATAAACGTGTCAGACATAACCTCAAAGTTCTGCACCATCGCCACCGTTGAAATTTGTAACACAGAAACAGACAAACATCAAAATTTCACGTTTAGGTCATTAGTTACAGTCACGAAATCGAAAAAATTAAATACAAAATTCATGTATCAGACATGTTACTGTTTTACAATGTACTTAAAACTAAACGTTATAACAATCAATTATTTTATTTTCATGCTGTTACGTAAGTGGCTCTAGAGTCGTTCCCACTTACGAAGCTCACAGGCCGCAGTGTTGGTACTAATGAAGATATTAAATTAAAAAGAATAAAATGGAAGTGGCGTTTAGTGGCATGTTATTTACACGAAAGTTCATGAAAGTCTGTCTATCGTGTCGTTATTAGGACAGACATACAGACATAAGCTTACGCTTCCTTATAAGGCACTAAGTATGGTAAAGCCGTACAGTCGGTGCACATTGCTACAGAACCTTCTGGCTAATGATTCTCTCACTGTGCACTTCCTTTATGTGCCAACATTATTCTTTGGATTTAGATGTTTGATTTCTCTGTATCCGCCATCCTCTATTACGTTCCTTCATCCTTCTCATTATTCTGTTTCCTTCCGCTTTTCTCCCTAGAATCTTCCCCCTTCAGAACTGCATTTCAAGACAGCCATAGTATCAATACCCATAAAGCCATTCATTTGCATGATGTAAGATAATGTAAGCTTTCCTTTCATCCCCAATAGAATTTAGGTTTCATACTTACGACACAAGAATCTAACGCCAATACAACTTCATCCCCTCTTTCATGTTAGTCCCCTAGAACAAAAGAACACCCAACTTCAAACAACAATATCAGTAGAGAGATCTTTCCTGTATCCAAGGTAACCGGGGAGCAATTATGACTGAGCTTTATTACATGCCTGTCTTTGTTGGAACTCTTCCTAAAATGCGATACTCATATAAGTTTAGATGTCTCCTCGTCATGCAGGATACTGAATGCCACTCTTGTGCTGTTGCAGATATGACACGACCGAAACACAAATTGCCTCTCACTTTCAGCTGTCGAGACAGACAGAAAGTAAAGATTTGAAATGGCGTAGAGAACAAGATATCAAAAGTTATCACTATAAAAAAAAAACCTTCACAAAAAAGACGTTCGTAGACAAATTTGTAAATTTAATTATTCGTGTTTTTCCCGTCTAATCACAATTGTATATAAATAAAATTATACATAAGATATTAAAATATCATTTACATATTTAAAAAGTTGTACCAAATATATAAATGATATTTTAATATCTTATGTATAATTTTATTTATATACAATTGTTATTAGACGGAAAAAACACGAATAATTAAATTTTAATTCACAATATGACGCAATTATATCAACTTACAAATTTGTAAAGCTTACTTGTCTTCATATACTTCAGTTTACATCACGAGACCGTCTGGAACTGCACATTAATATTTATGCAATTTAGTGATCCATTTTTGTACATAGGATTCACCAGGACAAATTCCTATTACGTTAGATTTGCTATATATGTCCTCAACAGCTGCCATAGTCGCCATATTTGTAATTTTTAACATAAAACAATTTTAAAAATAACTTATCTGTAGGTATTTTTGAGAGTTATACCTATATCCTGTATTGGTGATCACCCTCAAAACGTAATCTAAATAAAGATTCCGCAGGGCCGCCATATTCATCATTCACATTATTCAAAACTGTGACTTAAAAAGGTTAAAATTTTCTTTTACGATTTATTCCATACCGAACACCAGGGCCCTACTTTAAGTAGTATAAATGTGGCTCCCACCTCAGAACTTAGCAAGGCTGCCATGTTGGTATTATTGAGTGTGTCATTTAGGATATTGTACAGCTACACAGGTCACCTAGTATTCCTAAAATAATCAAATGTAATTCTACGAGATAAGGAATGCACACAAAATTTTGGGATGGAAACCTCCAACGACCAATGAAAATATAAAGCAGGAGATCAGAATATGTTACTAATACAGACCTTAAGGACGGAGGTTATAAATCTATTTCCATATAACGTCAGAAATACAGGTTAGACAATGAGGATATGCAAAAACTCAAATCAAATAATATTATTTGTCAGTTTATCAACGAATTATTTTGACATGTAACTGGCGAATTACTAATTGGTGTTTTGGTAAGTAAGTCAGACAGTTATCCAGTTAGTCCGCTAACCAACCAGTGAAACAATTTCCACAATCAGACGTCAAACATCCAAAATGGAATGGGTTCCGATCACTGCAGAGTGAGCAAACGTGTCACAGGTACGTGGAAACTTCGAAGCTTTGCATGGCTACACTCATTAATCATTGAATCGCTTCACTCCGAACGACTGGCATTTCGCCGACAATTAAAATTTCGTTGCTGTTACGATAAATGATTCAGAAGGAAAATGACAGTCGGATGTAGCGGGTGAAGGTAACAGAGAAGGGGGGGGGGAGTTTAGGAACCCGTTCGAGTGATGTGGATAATCGATAAAGCAGAGGCAAAACATTCGGGAAAAGATAAAGGAAAGAAGAAAATGAACGAGGCAACAGAGGAAGGATACAGAGAAACCAATATTATTAATAAAGTCTTCACAGCCACACAGTCAGCAGCCTTGAAAATGAGGACAGAGATGGTCCTCGAAACGTCGGCGATCCCGAGAAGACTTTATTAATGAAAGCCGCCGTGAAAGCTTCACATCATAAACCAATATTAGTTTATATCTAGTGGTAAGTCGTCTAGAGCGTAAGAGGTAACAGCAGAAATCTAGAATTTGGTTTAAGGTTTTATGTTCACACAATGCGGATAAACATAAAGAACCTCCCACTATGAGAAGGCGTGCAGTTGCCTTCGAAACGGCAGTGACTTCAAAACTTACTTGGCAAGTGTTGTCAGTTGTGGTTGGTCTATTGTCCTATGGTAACCAGAACGAATTAACTAAACCTCTTTAATTAAAACGGCGTATCTCAAAGTTCCTGACAAAACTCTGAATCCGATCTTTCGTAATTTCAGACTCAACCTCATTAAAGAAATGCATATTACCTTAAGATTTCATCATTTCCCTCTTATCTACGTCTTCGTCTTTCAAGTCGTTGCTCCCCGTGAGATTCTCTTACCTGCAAGTCCACCACACAGCCCTCTCTTAGGACAGGATGCCATTTTAACACATTGCTTCGAAGCACACGCATTGACTGACCGATGTATTGGCAGGCTATTTAACGACAATGCTTCAACTGCAGAGGTTACAGTACATTAAATCAGATGGGAATACAATCACAATTTTATATCAGGTACGCAATTAGAAGAATGTTTCGGCCTCTTTCAAAATAAAACCTCGTCATCTTCCTGTGGAGACTGAGTAAAGCAACGGACATTTATTCTATAATTCCTAAAAACTTACCGTGTTAACACACGGCCAGGCAAAGGCAAAATTATCCCTTGTGCTCTCGATGCAGACGTACATTACTATTTTCGCACTAGATGTAGGTGAGTACTTGGTTTCATGGCCCGCCCGACTGTTAAACCCACAAAGAAAGAAGCCCTGCATCCCCTGGGTGATCCCGAGTCGATGTGGGCGTTATAGGGAGAGTCCTTCCATGCCGGGAACCGAATCTCAGTCTTCAAACTCGTAGCTTAGCTACTACATTGAGTGAGTTACCCCGAATCTGATTTTTACACAGTATACCTGCAATATTGTTTTAGTTCATATTCATAAATGGAGCTCAGCAGGTGTCGAACAGAGGTACCCTGTACCCCACATTTCAGTTACATCTTTTCCACGTGATCTCTCAGCACTCCGTCGGCAGCAACACAAACCCTGAAGGAAGAACTTCGTTTCCACATTCCCCGAGGACTTCGGAGGGCGAAGAGAGTTGAATTATGGGCTACCAATTTCCAAGAGGAGAAAGTGAGAGAGAAGGGTGCTACCACCATACAGGAAATTACCCCGAGGGGAGTTACCTTTTCCTCTGGGACGCGAACGAACTCCTGCGGTCTCTTCTAGGGCGGTCTGGTTGCAACACAACTAGAAACATTCCTGTCAGAACCGAAGACTGAACACGGCCGAATACAAAAATGGTAAATTTCATTGTAATTTGTCGGTTCATCATTAGACATATTTCTATACAGTCTCTTTCTTATTGTGTCATGTTTTGCTTTCCACTGAACAACTACTTCAGTGGTGCAAAATGTGCGTTGTCTATCTATAGACGTCACAAATAGACAACAATATTGCAGTGTTGTAAAACTGATCACCCGGAGTAGGAAATTATTTAATATATTTTAATAAAATCAAAATACGACCGCCACGGTGGTCTAGCGGTCAGAACGCTATCCTTGTTATCCTGGGGTCTCGGGTTCGATTCCTGGCGGTGCCCGAATTTATAACTTGTGTTGTGCAAGGCCGTGGTCTCGGCAACACGGAGTTTTCCTCCGTGGCATCCCAACAATTACTCCATTCACACACAGACGAAGGCAATGGCAAACCACTTCTGGATCATCTGCCAAGAACGTATATGAACAGGTCCCAGTCCGAGAAAAGGATGGAAGGATCCTGTTCATATGGACCTGTCGCTATATGTAACTATAAGTGCCACAGCACAACACCAATCTATTGTTTAAACATGAAATTACCATAAACATGAGTGTTAAGGTTCCTCAAAAAAAGGCCCTTTCATGTTTATGAGTTTGTTCCTGGACCAGTTACTGTGATCCTCTTCATATTTGTTTTCCTCTAACAAAATTACGTCATCAGCTTATGTTACATGTATTTCCATATCCTTCGGAGGGCTGTAAACAAGAATCATTTTTTCAAATCGTCACTTGCCTCGGATGTCTGCGTGATGTACACACGGTGTAGTTCCCTGGAACCAGTCAGGTGTGAAAATAATTTATCTCTGGTCTTGTGAACCGTTAAGTTTACGTGGCGTGATGGCTTCGCTCGGCGATAAGACTTGATGCTCACGGGTCGTAAAACCGATTCCAATACAGGCGAAGCATTTCTGATGTGCATAACTACACACCCTTACAGCGACAGCCAGTGACCTACATTTAGCAGAGTCCGAGATTCGATGCTGCGAGATGGTATCCATTAGTCACTAACTGTTCACTATGCAATGCTAAAAATATTACGCGATCAACAACATTATTATCAACGCACATTTATATTAGCTTTCTGTTATCGTATTATTTATTAACCTATACTTACGACAGAGACAACCAGCAGTGAGATTAGGCAAATTGGCTCTCATGAGATGAAGCAATGTGAGGATGATGCTGATTGATTTAGCTCCCAAAAGGTGACAATCGGCGTTATTGTTACAAGCGACTGCAGTTTTCCCTTTCACTAACTGAAGTGCTAACACGACTGATCGATTTTCCAACGATTTATTGATTATCAGAATATTCAACCACACAGTTTCGAATGGCAATTAGATGCGATTATGATCGTGAATTTTAAATAGCTAAAGATTTCAGAAGACACGGCCGTGGCCCATTTGAATTAAATTCCCCAGTATTCGCCCCGATAATTATTTATTATGTATCTTCGTATTATAATTTTGTCCCTCATTCTGATTACGAAACATCAGAACGTAGCGGGTGAGTGGTTGGTACTCCTGCTTTGTTTTCGACAAGCCCCAGGTTCAAATCTCGGCACGAAAAACCGGTTGTCATGAGATCTTTCGTTGTTTTCCTCGCTCCCTCCAGAAAAATTCCGGGATATTAGCCTACCTTAAATTAGGCCACGACCGCTTCCTTCCATATCCCTTCCAAGTAATTACTAATA